CACTTTCACAAGGTATTGCCAGTGGGTGGTGGTAGAAATCTTTAGTTTTTGCCGGTGTGTATTAAGCAAGATCTCCTCAGTTACCAGGAACTGATCTGATCATTAGAAAACTGTCAATTCTTCACAATTCTTGCTATCCACATCCTTTATGTATAGCTAAAAGGAAGTGCCATATCACAGGGTTAGAGAGGGAGGCAATCATGTGAGGTTACACATATTGTGGTACTGCTGTTTACTGACTATATAACCTTGCTCAAATTTTCCTGTTTGTAATGAGTGACATTGGTGATTACAACACATCCTTTTCAGATGAGTAGTATGTGTGCTAGCTGTCAATCCTTTGTGCGCCTCAGATGTAACAAGTATATCAAGCTGCTTGCCATCTGCATCACTTCATTAAATGAAGTTTCCTAGTCAAACCTTTTCATTTATTTTCAGCCGTACAAGCCGTAGACTTAGGAAATTTATTTAATATTGCTCTCCAGTGTGACAGAATTACTTTATATTTCTTTTATATTTAATTTCAAATATCCTGAAATGCTGCTCTTGGGATGTTTCTATACTTTTCTGAACAAATTGATTGGTGCTATGCCTCTTGTTTACTCACTCAGCACACTTAACATATGAACACCAGGGTGGATGGAGAATATGAAGCTGGGGTAAACTGTGTATCAGCTAGTGTGGGAAACAAAAGGCTGAAGACACTCACGTGCCCTCTACACACTCATGCACACTCTACACACTCATGCACACTCTACACACTCATGCACACTCTACACACTCATGCACACTCTACACACTCATGCACACTCTACATACTCATGCACACTCTACACACTCATGCACACTCTACACACTCACGTGCCCTCTACACTCATGCACACTCTACACACTCATGCACACTCTACACACTCATGCACACTCTACGCACTCATGCACACTCTACACACTCTACATACTCATGCACACTCTACGCACTCATGCACACTCTACACACTCACGTGCCCTCTACACTCATGCACACTCTACACACTCACGTGCCCTCTACACTCATGCACACTCTGCACACTCACATGCCCTCTACACACTCATGCAAACTCTACACACTCATGCACACTTTACACACTCATGCACACTCTACACACTCATGCACACTCTACACACTTGTACACACTCTATACTCAGTAAGAAGTCTGAGAGGGCGAAAGCACAGGACTGAATAGATGGAGGGTGCTTTACTTCAGAGTGAGATATAACCTGTTTTCTAGGGTGGCAGGGAGAAGAGTTCAGGCAAGTAGAAAAGGGGGCATTCCAGAAGAGGTGGCATCAGGGCGAGTAAAGGTATAACGTGCTAATTAGGGGGGTACAGAGTGGGGCAGTGAGAAGACTCAGATGAGGGAAGCAGAGGGGAAATACCGGTGAGGATGGGAGGTCTTTGAGGGCTAAGCAGTGACTCTGGAATACCAACAACACAGTGTCCAAAGGATACTCATCACTGTCACATGCATATGAGAAGCAAAGATAAGGAGGGGAGTGTCAGCATGCTGGCATAAGTGTTGTGTATCTAAAATGAACTGAGGAGAGGCCAAACTGGGAAGGCAGGAGGTGCAAAATCACCTCTGACTACGGGGACCTCTGGCTGCAGGATCAGGTAATAGAAACTAAAGTACAGAATGGCACATTTTGGAGGGCAGAGGCGACAGGGTGTATGTGTTTTCAAGAAACTGAAGCACAAAAACGTCCCAATTCAGCAGGTCGAGGATTCAGCCATGTGCTGAGAAAAGGTAGAAATCTCAGAATAACTCCACAAAAGCTATAGATAGCAACTCAGAGTTAGGAAGAACTTGACAACTGTTTAATGAACATGCAAATCTGTTGAGTTAGAAGCAACAAGGGGTTCTCTTGAGGGTCAGTCTTTAGACAGTAGGGATACAAACTGAAGGGTATTCCCATCTCCTCATTTAGGGTCCCACTCCCAGCTTCCTTGGAAAGAAGGGAAACAAGCACAGGAAACCAGAAAGGGAAAATCAGAGAGGTAGGACAAGTAGAATTTGTATCCTGGAATCTAAGAGAGAGTGTGGAAAGGCTTGATAGTATCAGATGCCACAGACATCAAACAGGGGTCAGAAATGGGGGAAATACGGCAATATGAGAGTTCTATAATATTTATTGATGGGAGAGGGTACATGGGTATCATACTTATGACAAAGTATTTACAGACAAGGTGCTCCCACACTCAACCGAACTTATATAACTTGATGATGTACAAGGATGGATTTCTCAAGAGCTAAATACAGACACATCCATAGGTGCTGCCAGGAGGCAAAAATCAGCTTACAACTCCACTTGACCTTCAGGCATTGGACAACTTGAGTGTTTGACCTGAGATTGTAAGTGTCTAGGGGCTATTGATTTTAGGAAACGAATACAAAGTTTAAGTTTCCTTTGAAAAAATCTTTAGGTTCTTCTCTCTGTTTGCATAGATTTAAGAGTTGTATCACACTTATCTTTTAAAACATGAAAAGTCATTAAACAATCTTGAAAAAGTATAACCAGCATCTCAAAATATTTATGTAGATTGTTCTTTTTTCGTACATTTGAATGTTTGGTGCTTTTGAACTTGCCCATTCCCTTACTGTGTGATAGCATAGAGACTTGGTCTCAGCCAGATCGACTTCAACCTAATGTTGTAGGTTAAGAAAATCTCAAGTCAAGGTTGAGTCAGGAAAAAGAACTTTGTAGGCTGAACAAAACCACATGGCTCTCAGTTGTCTAAGTTTGCCAAGAGACTGTCATTGTCTTCTCCAGGAAGTATAAAATGTCTATTTACTTGAGGCTCAAGTAGAGGTAACATTCTGGGAAGACAGTAGCTACTACCACATGAGAAAAGCCAGATATGCTTTCCACCAAGGTCTGCAACACAGTGTTTTTAAGGATTTTCTCTCACCTCTAAATAAAAATCAAAAGGCAGATTTTAGTTGGGCTTCTCAGAAAACACTAGTAGAGTTCTAGGGTGGTGACTCTGGTGACTAGCGTCTCTCTAAAGCTTCACAGTGCTCAGTCGTGAAGTCTGGGTGAAAAAGAAGGACTGAGCCTTAGTCATCAACAGCTTCTTCATTTCTCATGTGTTTGGAGTTTTCCCATGATGTCTTCTTCAATGGGCCACCTGAATGGGATGTGGAATGATGATGAGATTTTTTAAAAGAGTTTTCAGAACACTGAGTCTTCACACTCTACCCATGAAATGCCATCATCATGGTTTTCTTCTTGACTCCAAAGCTTCCCTGGCTTTGACAGAAAGAATCTTCTTGGTGGTTGCACAGCAGCACAGTGCAGGGACTTTTTCTGCCCAGGGGAACAGTGTAACTTGAGATGCCACTGAATGTTGAGGACAGCAGAGGATGGTGTAGCTATCTACACCACACAGGTTAATGGAGTAAAGTTCTAGCGTAGGGCTGGGGTCGGTGTCCACTTCAGGATACCCACAGGCTTTCTCTATCTGATTCCTAAAAATGTGAAATTCCGTATGCCATTGGTTTTGAAACAGGAAGTAAATGAGCAAGTGACTTAGACACAACTTCCTGGATTCAGGCCACGTGGGATAAAATATAGGTGCAAACTCACTGATACATAATCAAGTGATGTGCACAGGAGGGGCTCACCAGAGTGGTAGCCTTGGAAGCACCTGAAACCACTACCACCCCCCTAGAAAGCCCACTAGAAATGAAGAGCAATTTCTGTAGCATGGGAATGGCACACTGTCTCCCAGTCATCCCTTCTCAGGATGTTGGGAATTCTTGGATCTTGTCAGTTCATTAAACAATATGATTACTTGCATTTGGTATTACAAAAGCAAAAAGTAATTTAGATAGGGATTAAAAAATTAAAGGATGTTGTTCTAGATAAACTTAGAAGCGTCACCTTGGTCTGTTAATCTAGGAAGTTCAGGGCAAAATTGACCTGAGCCACATCCTGGATGCTATGCCCCATGTCAAGGGAGGAGCACAGTGGAATTTCAGAGTAACTGCTCCTAGGGATGTGGCAACTAGCTTTGCTCAATTTGGGTCATGTTATTATTAAGATCATTTGGAGGACTGGGGATGCAGATATATTGCCTAGCATTTGCAACAGTCAGAGCTTAATACAAAACACAGCAAAAAACAACAAAACCAAAGCAAAGTATTTAACCCCCTGTTCATTCAGTCATATTTCAGAACTCCATATGCTCACATGCCAGGAGTGATTTCCTTTATAAGGTTTGCCTTACTGCACTTCGCTTGATTAATTTCCTGGCAAGTTGCTGGGCAGTGGCATGTTACATTTTATTTTCTTGTATTAGACTAGCATTCAAAAATGACTAAGTCTCCCTGTAAATTACCTCTTGGGGAAACAATAGGTCAATAATAAAAATGTTCCTATTAACACTTAAAAAACCCCCATAAAACCCAGTTATCTATCAGGAGAATTTGAAGCATAAAAAGAAATATATTCATGCATATTCTTGATCAGTGTATACTGTATACAGAGCTATATTAGTAGAAATTTCTCAAAATGAAATATGCTTTTAGAATTCTCTTCTGGCTACAATGTCTCCATGAATTGACTTTTATATTCCATCTGATCTAATTTTTTTATGTACTTACAAACATAAAAATGCCAGAAAGAAAGGTGACCAAAAATGAAGCTGTTGTGAGCTGATTATGAGTCATACGGTTGCCAGTGATTCACAGACTGAGTGTCCACAGCCAACAATAGAAGGGGATCTCCTCGCAGCCGTTATTTGTGCTCTAGTAATTGCTGGTTCCCGGGAAGTATCGAGTGACCAGCAATGACTGGGATGGAGGGATGGTGAAGTAAGGCAGGGCCATGGAGCACAACCCAGAGGTGGAACAAGCACGTATCTGCACAAATAACAACTCCAATATAAACTGCTTCAAGTAGCATGTCCAGCTGGAACAAGATTTCAAAAAGAAAAAAACACTCGTGAAAAAGAATCAGTGTAACTTGGAGATTACCGAAGGTTTATTTGGAATGACACAGCACTGAGAACATAACTGTTACAGATGGTTTGTGATACAGCATACATCACCTCTTTCACTTTAGAATGATCTATGAAGATGAGTTGCATAAATATATTGTGGAAGTATATAGGAGCTTTTGTAAATAGGTTCTTTTGCCCCCTCATTCAGTCAATTGCCTAAAGGCAGAAGTGAAGACTGCATAGTTGCTAATCCAGATCTAATTTTTATCTGGCCCCAGCAGCTGAGCAGCTACACAACCAGGCCCAGCTCTCTCCAAAGGGGCAGCAGCATGGACGTGCTATCTGTTACATCATCCTGAAAACGGCACACAACACACACAGACACTGTCAACTGTTTTGGCAATGGGATGAGAGGTTTTGCCCTGAGGCAAAACTACAGCTGTAATGCCAGACGGAATAAGAGCAATGCATGTATCAATGACACTTAGAGGCAAAGAACTACAGTGGAAAGGGAAGGAATCCACTATGCATATGTAGCCATCTGCATACACATAGGTCCAGCAGGCATGGGAATTAGCTTGTGGGATTGTATGCCCATACATAAGTATATAGAGGTGATGGGAAAAGACTGTTAAGAACATTTGCAGCTGTTTAGTTTTATACACAGTAAACTTGAAAGGGAAAGAGAGCATGTGCTCACATTGGGCAAGGGAGTAAGATGGTGTCTCACTACAGGATAACTCACTATCTGCAGGGCAGTCACTCGACATCACACATTTGATGCAAAGAAGTCAGGTCTGGTCTGGAGAAAGCTACTTTAGACTTGGGGGAGGGGAATCAAGTACCAGTGTCCACAGTTAGACAAACCACACACAGACCTCTATTGAACATAGGGAACTAAGTAAGGACTTGTTCCTTAATTTGCTATTCTCCCTCTTCTTACAGTTTTTGCATACATGCTCTATTGATATGTCTTCCCAAGCCTCATCTGGCACCAGTCTGTCAGTCATTATGAGGGTAGTAGCAAGAGTGAACTCCTCCACATTTCATGAAGGTTTAAAAACCCAATCATGGGACTCTTTTGCAACATCTGTAGCCCTATTCCAGACGCCGGGTGAAGTTCTCTGGAAATAGGCCTTTGTAAGTGGCCAGGTCTCTGTACTGAAGCCAGTCTGACTCCTTCACCCCCACCAACCAGCCTGCATCCTGCAAGAAAAGAACAAGGGTTTCAGAATACAGAAATCTCTTGGGCACAGTCATAGTGCCAAGAATTTTCAAGAATCCATTCATCTAGTACTGCAATCTCTGGACAAAACACTACTATAAAACACTGTACAATCTAGAAGTTGAAAAAATAATGAATAAATAATTTGTTATGTATTGTTGTACATAGTTAACTTAAGGTTAATTTTAACATTTTAATTTTGTATAAGATATATTTAGTTAACATTAACTGAATTATTAGTTGTTAAGGAAAAGGGATTTCACACAAAAACATGGCATTCAAGGAGCATAACCAATTGTCTTGGGTTCACAGTGAACTAAGGATTGAGGAAACAATCCTTGGTGCCAAGTAGAGACAAACATTTTAAAGTTGTTAGGTTAGAATATAATGGCAACATGGCCACCAAATGTCTGGTGTTCCATCCTGAGCCACTTTCTTACAGAAAAGAATTGCCCCACATAGCTCCAACAAAGCACCCTATACAGGGTTCATCACAACTGAATGCTGGCCAAGTGCTGCCTCATATTGCTGTTGCTGCTATTGTTGAGGTCTGATGTTTCCCATTCCTGTGGATTACAGGGAAATTTCATGCAGTGGTATTCTTGTAGGAGGTACATGTTCTTTCTAAATAGGCTTTGTTTCTTTTAACAGTACCATCATACAAATAAAGGCATTTAGCCATAGAAAGGCTAGAGAATTCATGCTTAGATGGCCACCTACAGAATGGGAGACAATTTCAATAACTGAGAACTGCAAGCTGCTTCCTGTCCTTGACCTCCAAAGAAAAAGGAACACGGAAGGATACATACTACATGATCAGCAGTGGGAAACAACTATCTTTATTATGTTAACCAAGGCAAGAAAGAGAGTCCACTTACAATGAGGGATGGCCAGATTTAATCTGGATCAATCCTCCCCAAAGCCCAAGAACATCTGATAAAAAGAGGTCTCAAAAATTAAATAAACTGCTGGATATGTTCCCTTTGACATCATCCGAGACTATAAATTAATGCTTCTATATAGACAAGAAATAGAAGCACTTAGACAGGCCAATTTTTGAAGAGAGGAAAAAAACCCCACAAAAATAACAGAGGAAAAAATGCCCCAATAAATTGACTGATAATATTCTTGTTGATGAGGAAAGGTGCCCTTCTTAAAATTATGATCTCACATATGTGAAGGACAAAGTTATACCTAGAGTAGGAGATGATGAATAAATATTTTCTAAGCCTCTAGTATGCATATGAAAGGTCAGTTCTCCTCCCACATGTCTATATTAAATTTTATTTACAGCAAGTCAAAACCTAATGAGGCCAAATAGAGCTAGGCAGTTTTCAATTGTTTCAATAGAGAGCAAAAAGATAAGTGACATCCACAAACCCATAATGAAGATATATTCTAACGCATTACTCTGAAACTTTAACTGTAACATGAAGGGTATTAGGCAGTATAAATCTTTAGCTGGGGAAAATTAAAGTTTTACTGCTGAGAATATATGATAGAGAAGAATTTCCAGTTTTGGTTATAGAGGGACAGCTTGTACTAGATAAATGCTTGCATAGAGTAAGGATTCAGATAATGAAGCATGTGTGTGTGTGTGTGTGTGTGTGTGTGTGCACATATGAATCTATACATATCCAACTGTAAAATATAATTATAAAATAGAAAAAAGTTTATATATAGTGAAGTGAGTATAAATTATGTGCAGAGCTAGCTGAAGGCACCAAGAATGACAAAAAAGCAAGCAGAGAATGGAGACTGTTTAACCCTTGAGTGTAGGGAATTGCTGTGAGTGAGAGCAGGTTAATACGGCTTTTCCCTGAGAACTGTCCTCATCCTGCATACTGCAGGGTTATAGAATTTGAGGTCACAAAAGCAGCTTTATATTAATGGGCAGGGAAGCTCTTGGAGGAAAAAAGTCCCCGAGTACTCAGCGACACTTTCCTTAAATCTCAGGCTGCGTCTATACATGAGATCTCAAGAACTAGGGGAGAACAATAGCAACATGGTTGAGCACTGTAAGGAGAGTTGAGCACCCTTGGACTTTAAATCCTGAATGGAGCTGGAGAGTCGGCTCAGTGGGTAACATTGTAAATACTTGCAAGCACCAGGGTTCAGTTCTGAGCTTTCGAGGTTGCATCTTAGAATCCACATCTGGCAGCTGTAACTCCAGTCTAGGACATTTGACACTCAGCCTCCCTAGGCACCTGTCTCGTGGGCACAGGCCCCCACACAGCCATTTATTCTTATATAAAGTTTAAAATCAAAACAATTCTTAAAAACTAATGATTAACAAGTCAGGAGAATTGATAAAACACTACACTACAGGCTTTCTATAGATAGTCACCCTAAAAAGTTGTTACATTTGAGAGGTAGAAATACTGCCCTATGAATAAGAATTTATGAAGGGTCTATAGGTACACACTCTGAGAAAACACAAAACAGTCTTCAACAAATTTAGGTTAATAAGTTAGTAATTTTAGTGCCTAAAGAACAAAAATAAATAGCTTTCAGATATAGAAAACAGAACCCAGCTCCCTACAATGTACTGTACACTTACTGCATCTAGGGTCAATAAAAATGTTACCAAACACACCAGGCAGTAGTGGTGCATGCCTTTATTTCCAGCACTCAGAGAAGCAGAGGCAGGTGGATCTCTGAAAAGGGATGAGAGAACTAATATGGGAGGTTAGTGCTGTGTGTTGGGCTTGTGGCTATGGCTACCCAATCATGAGGTTTGTAGGCGTTTGAAACTGTTTTGTGGAAGAAATATGGAAGAGTTTGGATCCCTGGGCAAGAAAAGACCTTGAATGCTGTACACACAGCCTAATGGGCTATTCTGATGGGACTTTGGAAAATCAGAATGCTGATAGAATGCAGAAGGTAAAGAATGACTGCCCATGATGCAGCAGTGAGAAACAAGGACTCTCCCAGAGACCACGTGTGCTTTATTCTACCAAGGAGCAGGCTGTGTTTTGCCTGTGTCCTGAAAGTATGAGTGATATTGAACTTAAAGTTAAAAATTAATGGGTTAAACTGTTTGGCAGAGGATATTTCAAGATAGCATAATATCTGCCAAGTGTATGGTAATAACCCAAGGTTAATGCATTGGCTTAGATTTACAGTGTACAAGAACAGAAAGATGTAGAAAATATGTAGTTTCAAGTGAACAGCTTTAACCAGATATGGTTATAGACATAACTGATAGTGTCAAAGTAACTACGGTTGTTAAAAGGGTGTGTACCATTAATATAAATCTTGAAACTTTGTACTGGGAAAGTGGGAAAGCCATACCACTTCCACTACCAAAGACTCCAGCTTGTAAAAATGAAAATTTATTTGAAGTGGTTTCCCAAGTTCAGCCTTGAAGAAACAAAGAAGCTACTGTGACTGTGGTCTAAGGAACCCAGGCTATATCTTGAATAGGCAGCAAAATTTTTCTACAGGGTACTCACTTGCATTTTCAAAAGTACAATATACAAGTGTTGTAGGGTCCTGGAGGTTTATGTCAAGGTTCTAAGAGGCTGCTGAGTCTAGCAATGCACAGCAGAGTCAAATTTTTTGCATGGATCTCTAAGGGGGCAAAGCTGTGAAGGTGAAGACCGAGTTGCAATACCCCATGAGAGACTGGTTGAAAGCCAGGGCTGCCTGCCAAGAAAAACTTCATTCACTTAGTGAGAGAGAGACAACACATTGTTGAAGAAAGCAGTGCATTTGGAGCTGGAGAAGTGTAGCACAGAAGACAGTGCCTTAGGCCCAGATGCCACACATGAGTACTTGGTAGTAAATCTACTGGGATTCTGTCTGGCTTTGGTCCAGCATTTCTTTGTTCTTCTCCAATTCCTTCCTTCTGGGGATGTTTAAATTGTGCCATTTCATACTGGAAGTATGCAATAGGGTGGTCTTCCTTCCTTCCCTCCTTCTCTCCTTCCCTCCTTCCTTCCTTCTTTCCTTCCTTCCTTCCTTCTTTCCTTCCTTCCTTCCTTCCCTCCTTCCTTCCTTCCTTCCTTCCCTTTGCTTTGGATATTACAGGCCTCACAGGTAAGAGACTGTCAAAGTCTCAGTTGAGACACTGAACTTAGACTTTTAAGCAATGTTGAGACTTTGGGAATGTTGAAGATAGACTAAATGCATTTACATTATGAGGTAAAGGGATCAAGAGTGAAATGTTATCTTTTGCACTAATATATTTGAGTATCAAACTGACAACAGACATACTTGTTATGGTTGCTTTCCATTGTCAACTAGATTAAATCAATAAATGCCTAGAGAATTTCATAAGACATGCCTTAGGACTTTTCTATGAGTGCTTCATCAGTGAGGGATAACTGAAGGGAGAAAACCTGTCCCGAATATACAAAGCACTACCTCGTGGTTGTGATCTAAAGTAAGTAAGAAGGAAAACTGATAAATCCAGCTAAGCCCTGGCATGCCCCTTTCTTTGCTCCTAGACTACCAAGATGTGAGGGTACATTCTTACTACCATGGAGCCACCTGCTATCAGATTTTTCCCACCATTCATGATGAACTGTAATTTTCAGTGATGGATTATACTCCCTCAAACTATGAGCCCAAATAAGACCTCGTTGCTTGAGTTGCTTATCCTCAAGAATTCAGCCACAGCAATGAGAAAAGTAACTAATTAAATAGAATTTTAATGCCTCAAAAAGCACAGAGATGTTTTTGTTTCTGCCTATACTGCTAATCTCTGCTTTATCAATTTTGCTCATGAATAGCCTAAATACTACTTTTATTAACTCTTTCAAGGAATTACTTTAGGACTTACTAGAAATTATTAATTGTAAGGTTTTCTTTGTTTTGTAGTTTTCTGTTCTCTGGGTTATTGTTTTTGAGTGTGTGTGTGTGTGTGTGTGTGTGTGTGTGTGTGTGTTGAGAATGGAATTTACTATGGAGCTCAGAATAATCTCTAACTGGTGAGCTTCTGCCTCCTGAGTGCTGAGATATGACATGGAACACCATGTCTTGCTATTGAGTACTATTGATTGAATTCATTTGTGAATTTATTTTATCATTTCTTTCTTTTTACTTTATACTTAAATATATGTACATATATGCATAATTTATTTATTGTTGTGTTTATGCGTGTTTTGCCTGCCTGCATGCCAACACATCACATGTGTACAATGCCTGCAGAGGCCAGAAAAGGGTGTTATATTCTGTGAGACTGAAGATACAGACACTTGTGAGCCACCATGTGTTCTAGAAATCAAATCTGAATTCTCTAGAAGAGCAGCCAGTGCTCTTAACTGTTCTGCCATCTCTCCAGTCCCAGTATAAAATATTCTTCACTTATAATATTATTTACTTGCTAAATTTATTATTTGGAAATCAGTTTTTTAATATTTGGAGCTTTAAAATATATGTTTAAAATAATTTCTAACTCTTACAGAGGCAGAGAATCTAGGTGCTTAGCCATCAGCTGATTTATATTGCTAAATCTATTATCAAAAGAAAGAACAAAATGTTGGCATATAAAGTGATTTTACACTTTATTTTAGGGAGAAGACTCATAAATTCATTTCTTTAAAATGAGTATGGGAGTCATAGCTTTTCTCTGTAAAAATACATGCTCATAGGCTCATTTACACATGCTTTGCATAGCAATTCAGGAGGCTCCAAATTGTGAATAGGAACAACCTTGGAGTTCCTGTATCTCACAATCAATCATTCTGATAATAGATACTTTCCCCAAATGAGGCATAATTTCAAAGCTGTGCTATGTAGGTGTAAAAGTTATATAGGTATAACCTCACCAAGATGTGAAACTTCACTTTACCTATAATGTTTTCCCAGGTTCTTTGCATGGGTTACCACAGCATGAGAGAACACTACTTCTGAAAGGGATGCACAGTTCATGTATGGTGTCAGCCTTTCCTAAAACCCAATGTTACGAGTACAGCATCCCTAGCAAGAAATCTGGAGACAAAGAAAGGTCATCTCATCTAATTGTACGTAAAGGAACAGTCAACGGCATCATAAATGGTAATCCTGAAAAAAAGAGTTGATAGAGTGCTGAGTGTGCAAGTCCTTAAGGCCTTTTCAAAGTTGCCCTGCAGCATCTTAGACAACAGAGATGCTGCAGGAAGTCACTTGTCCAACTCGCCCTCAAAAGACCAATGTGGCCTGAGACACCTTTCGGTCTTATACATTACCTGGTCAGCTTCTGAGTCTGAGGGAACCACGAGCACCACATCACCCCTTTGCAGGTTAAGTTCATCAGAATTCGCTGCCTCAAAATCATGCAGGGTTTCCACCTGCAAAACATTTAAACAATTGGTTAATTTTAGAAAGAAGTTGAGTGTGGTGGCTTTACCTGTAACCACAGCACCCAGGAGTCTGAGGCAGGACTATGGACATGACTTCAAAGGCAGCTTGTGCTACCTTTGAACTCTAGACTAGCAAAAACATGGGCTGCACAGGAAAGCCATGCTTCAAAATAAGGAGAAATAATAAAAGAAGGAAGGAAGGAAGGAAGGGAGGGAGGAAGGAAGGAAATGGTAACTTCATATTTCCTAACAAGATTAAAAGCACATAAAGGATGATGATACACATTGCAATCTTACTATGGATAGAATATGGTCTGCCCCAGAGTTCATTTGTGCGTGCATGGGGGGGGGGGCTTGGACCCCAAGGAGGTGGTATGAGAGGCATGGGAAACAATAAGATAAGGAGTGAAGTAGGAGGCCACTAGGGTGATGCTCTCAAAGGGGTTAGTGGATTTCTCATAGAACCTAGGTTATTCTGCAAGATTATGAGACAGTGAACTTTTCCATGCTCCAGCTTCTTGTGTCATTGTGATAGCATCTGTCATGTAGCCAGAGAAGAGCCACTGCCAGTGTCGTTCTTTGGACTTCCCACTGTGAGCTAAATAAACCACTTTTCTTTCTAAAGACCTAGAATCCAGCATTTTACTGTTGTAACATAAAACAGGCTAACACAAACCCCAAGGGGGGAAAATTTTGCAGAACACTTTTGGGAACACTACTTTCTATTTACTTAATACCTTTGCTTCTTACTGACTTGTATGAGGCCATTTATGTCTATCTTTATTAATTCAGTGTACTATACAATAGCTGAAAATACTATACTAAAATTTAACTTGTTAATTTTTGTTAGATATTTTAGATATTTAATTTTCTTAATTAATCATCAATTAGATATTGTCACTGATGATTGTTTAAGTTGAGTTAAATATTGCCAAGCTAAAGAATTTTTATAAAATAATGAAAAGCCTGGCAAACTGCCACTTGAGTGTTATATAAGAATTAAGCAAATGGCCTCTTTTTTAGTTTCTCTGAGATGGGGTTTCTCTATATAGTTTTTGCTTGTCCTGAAACTCACTCTGAAGACCAGACTGGGCTCAAGCTCAGAGATCTACCTGCCTCTGCCTCCCAAGTGCTGGGATTATAGGAATGCACCACCACTGCCTGGCAACAAATGGCTTTTTAAAAATAAATTTTTCTATCCTACCACCTTATGCTACAGCAGCCTGTTTTTCCTTTGCACTTTTAAACTATATTACAAAAAAAGCAGAAAGACTAACACACTGAATACTCATTTCTCAACCTGAAGGACTGTATAGTCCTGGCCAGTTTTATTTCTTCCAATTTAGTTTTATTTCTTCCAATTTGGTTCCCTGCAAACACCTAGACACTCAAGATGAAACAGTCTGCCTTTAAAATATGCATTCCATGTGTAGAATAAAAGTATTAGAGCAAGAACTGATTATTATACAAAATTAATTTCTGCAATGAGAACTGATGTCCAGAAAGGGACTGAGATGTGCACAGTGGGTCACACTATAGTGACTAGCCAAGCTAAAGACTGGTCCCTCATGCCCCAGCCTTGCATGGTGCACATTTCCTGGACTTGTACTGCTTAAACAAATAACCCGGTTTCTAGCCCCAACTTTAACCCATATGTTCAATTATTTTGCCCCACATTAATCCATTCAGAAATCTGTTATTATACCTGCACCCACTTCCAGTGGCAAGGTGGAAATTTCCTGCTAAAGGAGGGACCGAGAGAATGGATAGAGATATTCAATCTCATTCTTATGAACACAAACGAATTATATTCATATTTAAAAAGAAAAATAGGTATCCAGGCATGGTGGTCTGTGCCTATCACCCAGCTATCTGGGAGGCTAAAGCAGATGATCAAAATGTGAAGGTCTGCCTATGCAACTTAGCAAGACCCTGTCTTAAAACGAAAGAAGTACAGTGTACCAAGTAGCAGAGTGCTTGCCTAGCATGCACAAAGCTCTGAGTTCACTCTCAGTACTGAAAAAGCAGGGAACCAAATGAAAACAAAGGCTGCATTTTGAAATACACTATCAAATTCTACACTGCTTACACTTTCTTATCAGATTCTTCTGGGGTCATTATCCACTGCTAACACTTGGCTGTAAGTATGGTCTCTAGGCAATCACTGTTGTGTTGTTTTGTTTGACTGGTAAGGAGGCTTTAATTTATAATGGTCCCTGGCTGGAAAAACTTTCTTCCCAGGAATGGAGCCTTCTTTATTTCATCCTTTTCACAGAAGGCCCTTAGTACCTTTAGGGACTTGTTTTTAGACTTCTGGTTGGCCCCCTGATCTGTACTTGGACTGCATGGCTCTGCTTCCTGCCTGTTTGGCAACTCCTTAGGGAACATACTGGAGTACAGCTGACTTCAACGACCTGGTCTGAGACAGGCTGGACAGACTTAGGTCTGAAGGAGACATGGGAGGCATTAGCCCACTCACTACCCAAGGGCAGGTCATGCCCATTTTAACTATTCTGTCTTGAAACACAAAGGATATTACTGTATGGACATGTTGCCATTTTCCCAGGCCAGGGTGAAAGGAAAACAGATTTAAGAAAGCATACACAATGCAAATAGCACACTGGACAACCAGAAAGTAGTGCGAAGGGGACTCAAGGAAAGGCCAATGACCCGGAAGTGACAACATAAAGACCTTGTAGAGAAAGCCAGGAGGCACTTCCTGAGCAGCATCCTCTGCAGGCGAGGAGGAATCCACAGCACCTGCTGCTGCAGGTGTAGCTGCCTGGGAACCCAGAGACGTGGCCTCTGTGGCCAGTTCTGGCATCTCAGCAGCCTGGCCTCTGGGAACCACATCATCAGCGGCCTCTCTGGTTTCGGGACCCACAGTGGTTTCATGGTGTTCTCCTTCCCCTTCATGGTTGGAGGCTGGCTCGATGACAACAGAAGGGATAGCCTTCTCCTGGTTAGAGAAATGGATATTGTAACGGCCTGGGAAACAACGGGTGCTTTTGTTCAAGGACTGTCTTTTCCCGGCCACCTATACTTTCTCTGTCTCATTAACCCACAGTTTCAAGCCCACTAAGTTCGCAGACTTTGGGCCTATGCCTTACATTTGTCCTGACTTTCTCATCGTCTCCCCTGAGTACTAAAGCTTTTGTGGGAAGCCTATCTGGATCCTGAGCAGTCACACTGCCTGGAAACTGGGGCTTCTATGAGCAGTCCAGAGTGGTAGGAGGCTGAAAGCAGAGACGGTCTGTCCTGAGGGCCAGGAGGCTATCCTAAAAAGTAAATACAAGGGAGGACTCCATGCTGCTCTCACACTTCGCAATGGCCACCCATCATTGCCCAAGTCATGGGGCTGAGGGTGTGCTGTCTTTTTTCACTGCAGGGAGACAGGAAGAGCTGGAGCCAATTCTAACTTCATGTGTGTGCTCATCTGACTTTCCTTAAAAAGTGGGGTTGGCTTTGGTGAGAGATTCCTGGTGGGGAATCTGAGATACTGGAATAAAAGTAACCATGAAACACTGGTAATTGTAACTCAACCTCTGTATTTACACTGAGTTCCTTACCAAGGTCTGGCACTGGGCTAAGCCTTTGGGGGCATTCCTCACTCTAACAGATTTGTCATTTTTACCATCCTCTTCCTTCCTCTCTCCACTGAGTTTTCTCATCATCTGGGCTTCATTTCTTCCCTCTCTCACGACTGCAGCTTCCTTTCCCCCTTTCTATGCTTTAGCCATCAGGCATAGGAAGTCCGTTCCACAGACAGCTACCACCCAGGCCAGTAGACTACAGCCCACTAAACAGCCCTCTCCTCACAAGTCCCTCAGGAAACCCTTACCTGAGTGGCAGCCACTTCAGTCTCTGCTGGTGGAGGGCTTTCACTGCTTGCAACCTCAGGGCTTTCAGCATTGATTTTGGCTCCCTCCATGCTTTCTCCTTCTGCAGCAGGGAGGGCTGCCTTCTCTGCCCCTGCTTCTTCCACTGGGACCCCATCAGCTGGCACTGTAGTTCCCACAGTCTCGTCAGCATCCGTTCCAGGAGGGATCTATAAGTTAGAGAGCAGTCACTATGCCTGTCTCTTTAGAGCCTCCACAAGGCCCCACCCAGGACCACTCCATCATTCTTCCCCAACTGCTAAGGCCATCAGCACTGAGCTGCTTTGCTATGGAATCGCAGTAGTCAGGGGCAACAGAAGCTTCTTCTGTGGTCAGAGCTCAGTTTCCCAGAGTATCCAACGATATGAATTCTGTATCCCTTGGCTTACCCTTCAGTCAGGTATGGTAGATGGCATTGGAACAGGTCACATATGCCATTTTTAGAGGCTATTAGTAAGCAGTGGATGGATCTCTCTCCATAGCCTTTTCTTTTTTGTTTGATGAAAGCAGACATCAGTGGGTTAAGCTTTAGGAAATACCTAAGTTATAATGCTTAAGAGACCTGAGTTCCTGACTCACTGAGGACCACAGGGGGGGTGGCATTTCACCACACAGTAAGAATCAGAATGGTTGCTCTCCACATCTGTGTGGAGAAGACCTCGTGGCTGAGTCACGTTCAGGGAAAAGGAATGATGGTGTGGTTTCCTCTAAAAGAAGAATGAAGGGAAATAGCTTGTAAATCCAATATGCATCAACAATATACAAATATTCATGGCGCTATCTACTGGCTAGAAAAATGTCACAATCAGACTTGGAGTCTTTACTAAGGGAAGCAAAATCCCAAGAAGTTTTCAGTAGTGCTTAAAACACCAGATGATGAAATAAAGGAAGTACCATCACAGGGTTATAATTTGAACAAACTGGTTTAGAGTTTAACTCTTTAATAGGATTGTAAATCAGCATTACAGACCAGATTTGACAAGTAGAATAAAAATGACTATTGAGAAAGAACATTCAGGCTGATTGTATAAGTATACCCAGGACACATATTCCAGACATTGATGTTGCTTTCTGATGGGTTAGAATCAGTTGGTGCTCTTTTTTACTGGATCAGTTCTACACTGTTCTCTGTATTGTTAGGACAGCCATACTCATGCAAGTATTAGCTCTCCAAGCCCAACTTCTGAAGTGGGTGATGGAGAGCAGCTCTCACTGGGCATCACAAATGGCATAGGGGAATGTGACCTCCCCACATAGGCACTCAGCCTGGCATTATCCAAGAACTCTCCTTTGCCTCCAAGTCACACCTACTATATTGCTTAAAATAATCTTCTGTGAAGGACCTTTTCTAAATGTCATGATTTTACTTTGGGGATAAAAGACAGATATATCTTTTGATACATGATCAAATGTTACTCATATTCATAGAAATTTCTATGTCTTATATGAGAATATCCTATTATGAGAATTTGGTTTTTCACAGAAAGTGGACAAGGTTGCAAAAGGAGCCACTTGTCTTTATTTCTTTTATTTTTACTCTACCATTAAAGTGCATGGATTCAGAAAAGTGATCCTCTTGTGTGAATTACAGCTGATACTTAATTAAAATTAAATCTAAATGTTGGTAAATATAATTTTTATGTAAATGCTGCCGTCACTGTTGTCAAAAGAAGTATAATTAGCAATAACAGGAAGGCATCTTAATCCCAAGGAGAATAATGAGCACTTGCTCATTGATTTATTGTTTGTGAAATCGACAATTTTAGGCTAGGACAGATCTCAATGTTACAGTTCTTCCAGCTGAGGCTCTATTTTCAATACCAGGTATTGTGATAAAAAGATAAGAAAAAGAAGGGAGGGAGGGAGGGACAAAGAGAAGAAAGGAGGGAGGAAGGAGAGAGTGGGCTCTACTAAGGTACTGAAGACCTAACATGTTTTCTTCTATAGTGGGGACTATTGATAAAAACAATATGAATACAGTAGCTCACAGGCTCAAATGGGGAAGGGAAACTACTTACTCATAATTCCATTATTTTTACTTTCCATATATCTGAACAGAAGTCACACCTATGAACAACACATGATTTCAATAGCTTTGAACAATATGTTATCTATATACATGCAGACATAATGGTAAACCAATGGTAAACCAGCCTACACACACACACACACACACACACACACACACACACACACACACCATGCATGCATGCACACACGAGCACTTTAGATGAACAAAGCATAGCTTGCTATTTCATAACATCTTACATAAATTCTTCCATGAATATATGTTCTGAGAAGCACATATCATTACCAGTTGGTACTGTCTTAAGTGAATTAATGTTATTTCCTTAGATGAAAGCATATTAATTTTCTATGGCATATTGATATTGATGTTACTACCAAGGGTAAATTTGTATTGTTAAAATTTATTTTTCTTTACTTATGTAATTGTATCTTTATGTACACATACAGGAGGACAGAAAAAGGCACAGGTCTCCTGGAACTGGAATTACGGTGGATATGAGATACCCATGTGAGTGCTGAAAACTGAACTGGGATGCTCTGCAAAAACAGTAAGGACTCTTAACCACTTAGCCATCTCTCCAGCAACATCAAAAGTAATTTTAACTTTCATTTGTTGAAACCAGAATCATTAGCTTATAAATGACTGTTTTTTGTTTGTCTGTCTGTGGGCTCTATCATATTTTACTGTCACAAGATAGACATGCCATAGCTTTTCTGTGGCTGAGTCATTTGATCAGGCATTGCTGACTTAATCTGCTTGTTCAGGCTGCCAACACTGCTGTGACAACAGGCCACCAGCAGGTGGAGACCAGAGACTCAACTGTTCTGTATTGCCTGATCCTCATAGGCAAGCACAAGCAGCTTCAGGACATCAGCAATTTAATCTCAGCCACATGAAAGGATCCTAACATAGGACAGGGCTGAGAAGAATGGAAGCAAATAAACATCACTCAAACACTGGAATGAGTAACACTGGGAAATACTGGGAATGGGTGCTAAGGAAACTAGTCCTTTTACTCCTAAGAATAAAGATATTCAGAACGACCTACTTATTCATGTTTATGTGACCCATATAGAGTCAGGTGCAACGTATTTCCATAAAAAATTTTCAGGGTTCCTGTGGAGATTTCATATTGCTATATTTTTGGTCATGTCTTTTGCTCTTTGCATAATGGTCAGTTAGTGGCTTGGAGTAGATGCTACAATGTTTCTGGAAGCTCTGGGCTTTACTAGTCACTTCTGATTTTGCATTGAGAAGATAATTCTAAAGCAGGACTCACTGATATATGCTTACATAATTTCTTATGCTTTGAATTAAAAATTAACAATATATTTAGATGTCCTTGTGTTTAGTTTTGATGTTGTGTAATGTTTTATTGTAGTCTCTCTTTCTGATTGTGATTTCTTGTGCTCTACCCTTAGGGAATCTTTCAATCAGAAATCCTCAATCTAACATAGTATGCCTCCCCCTGACTCTGTAAATCTCTGTCCAGCCCCTTCTTGAGAATCAGCAACGGTCCAGGAGTTGGATTTTTCCTTTTGGCCTTCCAGTCTGTTACCTATGCTATGCTTTTCCTCTGCACTTGCAGATCCTCGGTGTCTGCTCCCATCATTGCCATTTTTCTGCACAGTAGTCCCTGGTCTTTCCCACTTGGAACTCAAATCTTAATTCTAATAACAACAATTTCTTTTCTTACTCCCTTTACGTCAAACTTACATCGACTCTTTTTCTCTCATCAATGTCATCTTAAGTTTCACCATGAGAAGACAGTTTAATTTTTTTTCTCACAAAAATTAGAAGAATAATTTTACAGTTTGCTCTCTAAAATGAATTTTTACCTATTAAGCGATCCTTTCCATCCTTTATATTGCTTTATGTGCCCTATACTGCTTTCAAACGATTTCTGTGTAGTTGCTTCAAATTAGGTGATATCTCAACAGTTTCTGTATGTTAGGAACATTTCTTTGTTCCATTTTGCATCCCATCTATGGGCATTCAGATGCTCCTTTCAGGTCAACAGCTGGGAGAGATTGTCTCCATTAGACTTTTGTTTTGTCAACTTGACATAATCAGGCTTATCTGGAAAGAAGTAAATTCAGTTGAGAAAATGCCTCTATCAGATTGGTCCATAGGCAAGCCTGTGAGGCATTTTCCTGATTAATGACAGATGTAAGAATGCCCGGCACATTCTACGTGGGGAGGTTCTAGGCTATATAAGAAACCAGGCTGAGTAAATCGTGGGAAACAAGCCAGTAAACAGCATTTCTCTGTGACCTCTATTTTAGCTCCTGCTTCCAGGTTGCTGTCCTGATTGAGTTCCTACCTTGGCTTCACTCAATGATGGACTGTGATTGGGATGTGTAAGCCAAATTAACCCTTTTTCCCCCAGGTTGTTTTTTGTCAAGGTGTTTATCACAGTGGCAGTGATTTATCAGGCTGTTATATATGATCACCACTTATTGTGAATCTCCCAAATGTGTATCAAAGATATGCAAGCACGATCCCAATGGCACACTGCCAAGGACTGGGTACTGTAGAAAAGCACCACCATACCCAATCATCAATTGCTTTGTAGACTTGACTATGACTCCTTTTCCCTCTATGCTTTCTCTTACAGAACAGGTCCCTAGTCATAGCTGAGATTTCTAAAATATAGCACTATAGAAATTTTGATACCTTTTGTTAAAAATCCTTTTTATCTTCAGTGTGGAGGATTACAACAGAAGAACTGATAATAAGTTAGTTTTATTTTTTGTAACTTTTTAGTGTTTTCAGTTTTCTTAATCTATCTTCACTTGTGGAGTTATTTTATTGATGTTATTTTCTGGCATAACTGACATAAATGATAAGTGAAGACTCTAAGAAGTATATATTACAGATTTTTAGATAAAGGACATATTTTGATAATTGTAGGACAGCTTATACTGGAGTCAGAATATGGCAATACTCCTGAAGTTTGCTTTATAAAGATAGTACAGGTTTTCCAACTTATCCTGATCCTAAATAATTATTCTGAAGCACAGATGGGCTATTTCTGTCAATATTTTTATATATCCATCCTGAGCAAGAAACTTGTATTTACTGTAAATCCAACAGTCTCCAGGTGCTATCACAGAAGTTTCATGTCTACTGCATATTATTCTCTTAATATCTGTCTTATAACTTATTCCCATTTCCTAGAAGTTAACTAAGATACAAAGAATGAACCAGTAAATGTTTGGAATGGTCTGTTCAAATTCTGTTTATGTCATACCTAATCTGTATCCCAGAAGATACGCATCTAGATTAGGGAATTTTGTAGCAAATTCCAACTACAGACAATGTGGTGTTAGCTTCCAAACCAACCATGTTTGAAGAGGACTCTAAGTATGCTTTTTTAAACAACCAATATGTATCCTATGATCTTGAAATGCCACTCTTAAATAACGTTTTCATGCTTCCTGTGCTACTTGGGAACAAGCAAAGACATGGCATAGCAAGTTTTGCAACAAACAGAAAACAAGAAGATGCTAGCTAGTGTCCGCAGTATTTTTATTTTGTCAACTTGACACAACTTAGACAAAAATCATAATTGAGGAATTTGCCTAGATCAGACGGGCATGCTGATATATCAATGGAGGCACCGTCTAGATTGTAGGAGTGATGAGTCTACTGTGGGCAGCACTATTCCCTAAACAGGTATTCCTAGACTGTAAAACAAAGGTAGCTAAGCATAAGGTTGAACAAGCAGGCCAGTAAGCAGAGTTCCCGTACCCTCCATCTCCATTTCCATCTCCATCTCCATCTCCATCTCACTCAGCTTTCAGGCTGCTACCCTGCAGTCCCATTAGAAGCGCTAAGAAGCTGGCTTCTAGTCCAACTCAACCAATTACAGCACGGTTGCCATGGCAAACATCTGTTAAAATTAGCTCCACATCTTCTTTGAAAATCATCTTCTGCAGAGTTGCCAAAGTTAATGAATTTTTGGTGTTGTTAATTTGACTATAAAGCACAGGAGACAGTATCTAGTTATATACGTTAGCATTAATAGTTTCAATTAGAGATTTATTTGCTGAATGACCAGGAAAAGGTATAGCTTTTGAAGCAAAAGTAAATACTGTATACTGTGCTTGCTAAGAAATGAGGACATGATTAAGCAGTGGTTGGAAAGCAATCATAAGGGGTATCTTTAATGGGCTTGCCAAGTCTGTAAGAGAGTTTTACTTAATTTTATTTAACTGTGTTTGGTACTGAATCTGAGCTTCAGTCGGGAAAAAGAAGAAAAGCACCATAATACTGAGTCACAACTCCAGCCCTGAGACTGGTTTAAAAAGATGCCTTTGCAAGCCAGGAATTGTGGCATGTGCTGCAATCCCAACATTCAGAGGATTGAGGCAGGAGGACAGCATGGGATACATAAGTAACTGACAAGCCAATTTACAGACTGAATCTCTTACTCTAAACACCGACAACAAGACGAGAGCAGCAGAATTCCTGCTGTGTGGGTCTTGGATCGGGGTGGCAGAACTGAAGGAATGGTGCCAGGCCCAGCCTGAGACTAGATTAAGACTGGGCTGAAGATTACTTGAATAACTCATGTTCTACATGCAAATATCCTGGCTCTGACCATGTACATGTCTCACAGCAGCCTGAGTGGCTGTGTGTGGCCTGAAACTAGAGGAGAAGGCAGCTGAGCATCACACTGAGAAGACCCACGGGCAGCCCTCTAACCTCATGGCTTTGGAACAGTTGTGGCATCACTGACTGAACTATTTCCTGTGACTCTGTCACCCCAGTTGCCCAGTAAACACAGGCTGCCAACAGCCATAAACAAGACTGCTTCGCCATACTGCAGGGATTTGAAAGCCCTTGCATTTTAAAGCATTTGGTTGTAGATTTTTAAGAGCAGAAAAACTTTATCAGGGAAACTCCTCTAAAGGAGAGGTGGAAACAGGCACCGAGGGTAAAATGATTTCCCCAACATCAGCTACAGCCAAAAGCTCATTCTGTGCATTCCCATTTTAGGATATTACTGCTACATACCCTTTGACAACTGCTTCACAGCCAAAGCAAGGGATGAGAACACACATTGCCTGTGGGAAGCTCAAGACTGAGGTTGAACAAGAGCTACTGCTTCATTTTGATTTTTTTAGCAACACTGCAGGGGACATCTCTCAAGTCTAAGAAATTATTGTGGAAAGTCCTGATATTAGCAGAGATTTCAGCCTATCTGGAGCCCTAAATTCCTTCACTGAAACGTTTCTACACACACACACACACACACACACACACACACACACACACACACACACACACACACACAATGGAGGCCATTACAGCAAAACACAAGTGGAAGGAAGAAAATACCAGGAATCCCACAGAGTCTCATTCATAGAAAAATAACTACAGGTAATCAGTGACAGCTGAGAGAGAGAGAATTAGCCTCTCCCTGGGATGAGTTCCTTTGGTTATCTGATATAAAGTGCTCAGCCTTGAAACCATACACACACAAACAAAACTGGACTCGGCATGTTGTATTTATATATTTGTGTGTATGTTTATATAAGTAATAATAAAAGAAAAAGAGGCTATCCACTTAAGGAGGTACATGGGAATGGTTGGAGGAAGGGGGCATCGGAGGTGCTGAAGGAAGGAAAGGGAAATGGCTAGGTGATGTAATTATATTTTAATTGAAATGTGTTAAAAATCTACTTGCAGAAGAGCAAAATATGTATGAGTGAGAAGGTGTGTGGTCTCTACAACCTGAGAGGGGATCACAGAGAACCAGCCAGCATCAGTGCCTGAGCTTAGAGAATTGGCTTTTTTCCTTCATGTCTCCACCCTGTTGTTCAGTGTTACGAACTTTGTAGAATTAGGCTTTGCTCTGAAACCTGAGATCAATATAGTACACAAGTACACATGGTGAAGAAATCACCTGACATTCAAAATTGGAATTTGATGAGAGCTTTTTTGAATCAAATCATTTCTTCAAAATCTAAATCATCACCTTCTTACCTCTCTGGTATTGGCCACATTCACCTCAAAATCAATGGTCACTTTATATATAACAGTGGTCAAGAATCTGTGGTGATATATTGTTTATGATCTAATAAAGCCACTGAAAATCAGAATGCAAAGCCAACCACACTAGTCAGCTATAGAAACTGAGAGGTGGTGGAGCACACCTTTAGTCCCAGGACACAGAAGACAGAGTCAGATGTATTTCTGTGACTTAAAGGCCACCCAGGGCTGGATTTTGAAGAAGAATTTGTAAATAAGCAATATTTGTAGATTCACAGGTCTAAAAGATACACAATAGGTTCATCAACAATGTATGAAACCAAAACCATAAATAATCAATACATATATGGGAGACAAGCATAGGAGATAGGTTAATGACCTAGAGCACCCATTTGGTCTTGAGTTATGCAATCCCCCCATCTGCAATAATGCATTTGGCAGCCTAGTTCCCTCACCTGCACATACTATGTATAACCCCTCCTCGCCAAACAATGTGCCTAAAACTCCGTAACCTTCCATATGTACCAGGCAACACCTGTTCCCATTTATGAACAAAGGCATGTTTCCTTACCCCTGGTAACAGTCATATTGTATAGTTATTATTCAAGTGAATTGCAAACATGTATAGGTATAAAGATTAGAAGGGCTACTCCAATTGGAACTCATTTTGCTGCATATGTAGTAAGACAAAACTGTGTTCTCTTTTAGGGACCATCTTATACCTATCCATAATTGACCGGGTATATGATTAAATCAGATATACTGTGGGAAAGGACATTCATAGCAGAGAAATGATAATATAACCTAACTTATTGATCAGAATGAGAAGCACTCAAGCTATAGTAGCCAGTCCCTCCTTCTCTTGAATTCTATAGGAGAAAGCATAATCAGGACCCTTGAGTATATTCCCTCATGTGTCCCACTGCCAATCCTGTCAGTGTATCTCTCTTTAATCTGCACTATCACTTTGCTCCCAATACTTTTATCTTGTTTCTTTTGCAGGTCTGCATGAGACTGCATTTTCTATTGTTTTGGATAAGAGGTCAAGAACCTGAAAACGCTGTCTATACCTGGCTGCTAGTGACATGCAGACATGACCAGCCAAGTTATCCTTATTTTTCTCTTTGGTAATTTCATCCCCAATTACCTCACATTTCCAGCTGTCTCAGGCAGAACATAGAAATAGGTCTAATTCTGTCCACATGCTGGAGCTTCTCCACTGACAAAAAGAGTGCATCAGAAAGAATCAAGGAACATTTTTTGGAGAGTCATACTTGTGGTTACATGGCAGTTTTCCTTATCCACAAATTCCGCTCCTTGGTATAATCTCAATAATAATAATAATAATAATGATAATATCAGTGAATTGAGATTTTACAATAAAACTAGAGAAGGCTCTTTGACCCTGGAAACCATGGCAGACAAGAGGATTCCTTAGCCCAGATGAAGCCTGGAAAGGAAGTGGTACAAAGGATCATGGGAGAAGCTGGATGGAAGCAACAGAGTGGATAGAGGGGGCAGGCAGTGGGCTCACCACTACGTCTTCCTTTGGCTCCTCCATCTCCAGTCCAAGGTCTAGCCCTGAAGCAGGTACAGCAGCCGTGGCAGGAGGCTCATCAGCTTGGGGCTCCATGGATAGAGGCTGTTCAGCTTCAGCCTTAAGTTATTTGTGGGCAAGGAGGAAACAAAAAGATTCAGCATATGAATAGGTGACACTGAAGAACAATGGAGAACCCAGAATTTCATCATCATTCAGAGTAAGCAGCAGTTTTGTTAAATCCATCCTAGAAAAATAAATTCTCTCCAGTGCCAAGGCCCTTGCACAACCAAAGAGTCAAGGAGCGGAATTGTATTGGGCTTGTTTAGAACAGGCTCCACAAATGTTTCCTTTGAAGCCCAGCAAAGACCTGCCACTGTATTCACCTGTATCAGTTTATCTTCATGTCTCTACATCCTGTGTAAGAGAACCTGAGATTACTCTTCTGCTGTGGAGAGAGAGAGAGACAGACACAGAGACAGACACAGAGATAAAGACAGAGATAGACACAGACAGACAGACAAACAGACTGACAGACAGATACAGACAGAGACAGAGAGAATATCTCTAGGAGTTCCACGGTTTGTCAGATAGAAGGAGTCAAGAAGAACCTATAGGACATATAGTTTTGTGATATTTCCATATATAAGTATATAGTACACTAAAAATGTAGGGATCTTTCTAGTATGCACATTAAAAGGTATTTATTTAACACAGTGGATCATCCAAAGCTGGGAGAGCAGGCTCAGCTACCTGGCTGCTCCATTAACTCCAGAACCTGTCATTTCATTTGAGATTCTGGTTCAGTCCCTTCTTCTTCTCTGTATCAAAAACAAGCAATTAAACAAACAAACAAGAAAAACAAACCTATAGCAATCAATTTATTTCATGTAACAAAGGAATGCCTTAAAGAATAATAGAATAGCCTTTTGCACGGTCTCAAAGTAGATCCTTTAAACCAGTAGCTTCCAACCTTCCTAATAGTGCAACCCTTTAGTACAGCTCTTTATTTCATGGTGACTTCCAACCATATTTTTGTTTCTACTTTACAACTGTAATTTTGCTACTATTATAAATTGTAATGTAAATATCTGATATGCAGGATATCTGATATGTGACCCCTACAGGGGTCATCACCCTCAGGTTGAGAAACCTTAAATTGCTAGGGTGAGATGCCGTTGTCAACATGAGACTGCCACGTATAATTAACCTCCAGTGCCTGTTACACGCCGAATCAGAATCAGGTCTTCAGCATTTCTTAACTCAAAATCTTCTGTTTTTCCTGTACACATAATTAATTCAGCGTACACAATGAAGTTTACAGAAACGTGCGGGAGAATTTTTTCTAAAATAATGACTCACTTAGTGCTGAAGAAACAGAAAAACTGGTTTTCTTTTGGCCTCCACCAAGTCACTCACCTTTAAAAATACAACACGCCTGGTATTTTCAAAGGGCATAATAAAATGAAAAGATACTTTTGTAGACAAGTGTGCAAACATTTAAATGTTTTTTACTGGGTTTTAAAACTTTTATGATGCTCTCCTCTGGCCAGCTGAGTCTGCTTTGGAGGAAGTCTGAAGCTGAAGAGGGGCCGGGAGAAGGTTTGATACACAACTTACATAAAAAGATATTGTGCACTTTAAAGATGCAAAGGTAACTGAAATACACAACAATGTTTGGATGATTGGATTGGATTTCTAGCTGTCTGGGGGAAATTCTGGAACTTTGACAAAGTACAATGAGGGCAGTTTTATGCATAAGTCTAGCTGTATCTCCTTGTTAAAATCAATAAGTGGAACTACCGTATAGAATGAAAGATACTATCTTAGCATTTTCTCACAAGCTACACATGCTTACTGACTTCTAACTACTGTGGATATGACTTAAGTTCTAGGGTACAAATGCAACTCATTAGTATTGAGAAAGTATGAAACACACTTTGCATAAACGCCACCACTCAAGTTAGTCTTCTATTCCTCTGAGATATGAAATTATAAATACTTTCTTATAATATAGCAAAAGTTCATTTGTGAGAAAAAAATCTCTTGGAAAAATCTGAAGCCTTATGTGAATTGGGCTCCACTTCAACTGTTTTTGTTGTTGCTCCTACAAGATATCTGCCTTGAAATATATTAATGGACTGAGAACGTGCTGTACCTATTTTTTGAGCATTAGAAATGATTCTTTCTTCAAAATGCAAATTCTTCTGAATGAAGCTGACTGTGTAGTCTTGGAACACATATACTGAAACCACTTTCTGATGAGATTAAGCCAGTCGGTACAGAGGTAGAGATGGGCATGGAGAGTTAAGTTTATTCACAAACCAATATGATATTTTCCTTCTGGTACTGCCTTTTTCGGTTTAGAAGACCGATTTAATACAGACTGAAGAGAACTTGAGGGCAGCTACAAACAAGGTCTGAAGACTCAAAATTGTTTTCTACTGTGATGTTCTGTGGGCCACGAGACATGAACCAGGAGATGTACAGCTGAGTAACAGCTTCAATCCCCTTTGCTCAGCACAGTCAAGGAATCCAGTGTTGGGGCTTCTGCTGTTCCTGAGATACTGCATAGTGACAACTTACTGATACTTGTAGATTACAGTTACCATGCATGGCTGGGCCTGACAAGCTGCATTCCTCAGGAGAGAGGAAGTGTGATGTTTGCTCAGGAGAATATATGTGGAGAGGACTGGAGGGAAAGCCGGGAAGTCTTAACACACTAATGTGCAGTGTGGAGATAGTCAGGCTACTGAACGGACATGGTTCTGAGCTTGGATTTTGTGTATTGATGTAGTGGTTATAAATTTAATCATGACCAATAGTCTCTCTTTTACTTCTGAATTTCTGAGTTTTCCCCAAGTGTTCACAATTGTCCATTTCAAACCTCACAATCCAATTTCTATCATCAAGGCTAAGAATGACCAATGAGCATACATATTGAGTTTCTCTGGTTTTGTTATCATATACTTGAAGAAAAAAGAAATCGAGACTTTGTCTTCCACTTGGGTGTGCAAATAGCACAATGTATGATAGTCCACTGATAAGATAGCAGGATATTACCAAAATCAACTTTTAGACAAGTTTCTCAGAATTACTTAATTAAAAGTGAAATATACAAAGAAAAAATTTTCTATGTGAATTCATTTCCAAACTTCTGATGTGAAATCTGGTACCTAAGATAGTTGCATAGTATTCCTATAGAAAAACCATAGCAATACTGATAGTCCCTTCAGTCTTCAGCATGCACATACCCACTGTCCTGCATGATAAATACACAGTGACATCTCTTAAGGTCTCTTCAATCAGCTCGATTAGGAAGGCTTCCCATGATAACTGCAACTTCCACCTTCTAAAAACCTCTATTTCCCTGTGTAACTCTTTCTCCTTCCACCTCATTCCCCTAGGGTTACTCTCATCATCAGCAGGCCTGTATACATACTTCTGGCTAGAACTTAAAATGAGATGAGATGACTTGAGAAATAAGTAGCTCTAAGCTCAAGGTAAAGGCAATGATCTATAATTTGAAGCACAAGTTCTTGAGACAAACTAATTTTCCATCTCATACTTGTTATAGTCACATGGAGACCTGTGACTTGTGGATTCACTGTGTTTCAACTGGGCATCATCTGTATCACAAGAAGCTAGGTTTTGCTTGTGTCACTGTGCCAGTGTTAAACAAGTTCGAAGTTGGGTTTTACAGATGATTTTCTTCCTGTTTTTCTGAAAAGAGGGATATGTACAAACCATATTCTTATATTAAAAGCCAGAGAAGCTAGTGCGACCAACTAACCTTCAAATATCCCATGATAACTATCAACAAATACAGTCACATCAACTTACCAAGCCACCTACCATATTCTGATCTGCCTGCATGGTGAATAATGAAGTTTCCTGGGCCTGAAAAGAGGGATAAAATTGTAAAAAGCTATCTAAACTCGTAACCATAAGCTGAATCAATGAAGGCGTTTTAATGTTTATCAAAGTTCTCCCTTTAAATCATTTAAGAAATACCAAGTAAGTGTTAACATGAGCTATTCTAAACATAAATCTGGGTTGGCAGAACATTCAGGAATCACTGCTTTCTTGGCTACAGCTAGAGTATGGTTCCCAATCGGCAGATGACTCTTATCTGTAGATTCACTAAAGGTATGGCTGTACACGGTGTGACTCAATATAACATTTTAGAAGGAGCTATTAAAAATCATTATCTCTAATATCTATCATCTTAGTAAAAATAATCATATCTTCTCTTTTCTAGTGGCCAAGTCTAGAGGATATTTCAGATTGGAACTACTTCCAAGGACTAGTAAAAATATTGGCAAAGCATTATGGAGCACTTAGCATGTGCTAGGTCACTGGGTTAATGACACTGCAATCACAGCTCATTTCATCACGATGCTACAATGCTGTTTCCATTACTCCAGCTGTAAATAGTGAGGTTGAATTTTGTACTGATGTTTTTCATCATTTTACTGGACTGGTGACATAAAACTCACACAGAAAAGAATTGATAATTCCCCGCAGTTGGCTCTTGCAAAGGTAGCATTCTCCTTACCTGGGTGAAACCATTAAATGAACCTCCAGAAGCCTAAAAGAAATAGAAAACAGGTGTGATTTTTTTCAGCATTTTCATAGGATGAGTGCATATCCATTAGACAAACTGGAGAGTAACGACTACCACACACAAATTCAAAAATAATACAACAGCTTGCTTTGCTTGAAAGTGCTTAGGAACTACAAAAAGCCATGCTGTATTATTATAAACAGGCTGACAAAAATTGAAAGATCAGCTTTACAATTGTCGCTGGCACCAACAGTGACCTTCACAATAATGAGAAAATGATTCTAGGAAAGAACCATGGGAGATAATGGCTCTTTTAAGTCATTCATATGCATCACTTTGATGAACAGCAACTAAGATTCTATAGCTTTAATGAGTCTGGGTAGAAGCATTTCATGTGTTTTTATTGGAGTGGAATTACAATAAGTCAGTGTTGCTCATGGTTTAGCACATTCTAGTATCCAAATGGTAAAACAAAAAACAAAAAAGAAAAAAAAAGAAAAAAGAAAAAAAACAAAAGCAAAAAAAAAGAAATTAAAAAGAGGAATGGTAAGATATATAGTAAGAATCATTATGTAGTTTTTTTTTGTTTTTGTTTGTTTATTTGTTTTTGTTGGGTTTTTTTTTGTCAACCTGTTTGTGTTTGGTGTACATAGGTTTCAAGGAGATCAATGATGGAGGATGAAGTTGGTGAGAGACACGAGGTAAAACGGAACCTAAGGAAGTCCAGCTAGACTATGCTACATTCTAGGGCAAGTACCTCATCTTTATCAGCCTCTATTTCTTGGTACAACAATCCATATCTCTGGTTAGCAATTTCATCTTCAGATAAATCTGAGTTGTTGATTTCATTGTCTTGGGGACTACCAGGACTCTCCATGCTAGTGTTCCAGGAGGTTCCCTGAACTGATCGCCCAGTGGTCTCCTGGCTTTGATACAAGCCACTAGCCCTGGCATGTTTCCCACATACATCTGCAGGTACATCTACCTCCAGGCCTTTCTCACTTTCTACTAAATGTCCCCAATATTTATGTAAACCCTCTATATCTCTGATAGACCAGTGGCTATCAGATTCCTGCCAGTTGGCAAGTCTAATTGCTGGGCCATCTGGAATACCAGAGACTCCCACTATGTCCGCATTATTTATTCTTGAATTCAAGTCTGGCTGCCAGATTTGACTTGAACCTGTTCCCCAAGAATCTGTTTTTGTAGTTCTTGGCAATTTAATGGCATGACTACAGTTTCCAGGCACTGTACTTACAGAGCCTTCTGCTGATGAATTGTTTCCATTATATGAACACTGCCCTTTTCTGTTTGCAAGAATTCTCAGAGAACAGTTAGGGCCAGTGTTAGACTCATCTGCCATTGCATATTTGATTGACAAAACAACAGTCTGACTCTTATGTCCATCAGTCTCTTGTGCACTGACTGGAATGTCACACTGAATTTCTTCTGTTCCTGTACCTCCCTGTGCTGGATGCAGCTTTGTAGAATGGTTGTGAGGGCCTGCTGAATGTTTCCCTGTGTCTATTTTAGTTAAATCCCATTCCTCAATGCTCAAATCTTTAATAAGTGACACAGGGTCAATCTGGAGAGGCAGATTACAGATTCCTGTGTGACTGGCAGGTGTAGTTTCAAAGTCTTTTACATTTTTATGATGATTGATTATTACTTGAATCTTTTCAGAAAACCTTTGGATTCTGTCACCAAATTTATCTGCCACACATATTCTTTCTGTGTCTTTTCTTAATAGATAAGCTTCCTCAAAATAACTTTCATATGTTTTTAGTTTTGCTTCACATCTCACCCTTAGATATTTTCTACTTCCCACTTCACTCCTTTTGAAGGTCTCCTGGCCTTGTTCTGCTGGCTTTTTGAGATAATGTAGTGTTCTGTTCCTAGACTGTCACACACTTTCTCCTCAAACCCTCGAGTATCTTCTAGTGCTTTGTTAACAATAGCTCCAGTGTCTACCTTTTGATTGGTGTCCACACATTGCCACATAGGATCTTCTACCTTCTGTTTCTGTTTTGTTTCTCCATTTGCTCCTTTAGCCTCTTCATGACCTTTTTTGAGCAGGTCAACTTTTCCCATGGCTGGCTTCTCTGAGTCAAGTACTGCATATGGCTGGTCCATCTCCATGTATGCAGGAATAGCAACTCCAGCCACAGGCACAGGCTCTGAGAACAGCTGCTCATTTCTAGCTGGAGGGGCTGGCCCCAGGGCATCCTCACCCTGTTCAGCTACATCAGAAAGGTCAGCAGAAGAAAGCATTCCAGTAGATAAACTCATGTCTTGCTCTGCTTCATCGAGACATTCAATGTCTTCCCGAGACCCACTTGGGGTCATCTCCTGGCTGACACTCTCTGTCCTAGCATGAGGGCCCCAAGCAAATGCACCTATAGTTTCAGATCTTTCAAGTTCTTCATCCAACCCACTGCCAGGAGTTTCCTCTATGATGAGGTTACACATAGAAAGACTTTTTGAAGAGTCAGTCTTTAAAGTATGTAGAAAAGCAAAGGGGGGAAAAAGATGAAACAGACCATGAAATATTTGATGAAAAACATACAGCTCTTGAGTAGTGTAGCACCAGTTAAACAATATCAGAAAGTACTTGAGTTAATTGGCTTAAAGTCAAGACTAGAACTGGCAATGTCATGGTGAAATGTCATTCTACCAAAAAAAAAGCCATAAGTATAATGATATTAGATATCTTTAAAATCCACAATCTTATAAGAATCAACCTACCGGTTGTACCAAATCAGTACTTGTCTGTAAGGGGGAAAGGGGGGAGACAAAAAGTAAAGAATGAAAAACATATCACTGGTTGAAGTCTAATGTTATCCAGGAACAACACTCTTATGAATGCTGCAGCTTTTTATTGTCCAGGAATTAAATTTTACCACTTTTTTGCTATAGGAATGATTTTTTCTAAAATGTATTCAAGACAATTGTGGAAGAGGCACAAATGAAACTCAAAGAACCGATTCCATTTTCTAATACCAGTGAGGATGTTTGGTGACTAGTTCACAATTTCTACCTTAGGAAACCATGAAATGAAAATGCTTATACAAATGAATATGCATGTCGAGAATACCCAGATGTCCTCAGGAGTAGAGGTCAAGAAATTACTCCATGTCACATGCTCTATAAGAACACTGGAACAAAATGTCAAATTCATTTTTCACTAGTGTCTATATCTGAGGAATGTGCTGGACGGAGAGTGACTTCATATTAACTTGAGGATTCTCTTAAAAGTTTTACCTCAACCTAGAAATCATTTTCTGTCTACAAGGAAAATATCTTGTAGAGTAGACAGGACTAATAATTATGTCTATTATGTCCAGAAGCCACGATTTCATATATTTTTATGACTAATATTCCTAGTAAGTCTGTCCCCTGAAGCAGTGAAAAGATCCTTCTAGAAGACACCTTTACCCTCACCACACTCCTTTTAGAGAGGGAAAAATGTGTCATAGTTCTAATTCATGTTATAAATTTTAGGATAACCAAGATTATTATTATTCCCATAATCAACAATAAAAGTAACACAAAATTGAAGTTAGAATTCTAGTGTCCTGTCTACTAACCCACATCCCCCATTTGTAAGTACACAAGTACATCTAATTCTGTGTGAAAAGTATTGACTTAGTCATGTGTGACTTCAGTCAACACTATTATGTGTGATCATGGTCTCTTTTAAGAATCCTAAAAAGCGGGACATAAACTCTGGGAAGACGGTGAGTATACTTTTTCTTTTAAGGAATTAGTAGAAATATTACTTCTGAAGAGTGTGTCCCCAAATAACAGCTACATCTATTGACTATGTCTGTTGCAGTTTACTAAACTCAAGTAGAATTCACAACCAGAGTTTTAAAGACTAAGACCCTGCCCTAAGGAAGCCAGGCTTTGCATGGGTGTCACCAGTCTCCTAATTTTGCAATGCTGATGAACGCTACAAGCTCTGGCCATCTCCCTCCTCCAAGACTAAATTCTGAAAATACTCAACCTTGCACATCAGATTAGTGTTATAAAATAACATGATAATCATATCCATCTTTTGTTGATACCTGTCCCAGAGTGGGATAAATATCATACACATATCTCATTAAATCCTCTCACAACACTTTGAAGTATTTATCATTACCTTTATTTTATAGATGAGAAAAGTGGAGGCTTCTACAATGAGAATTGTAGAAATTGATCAAATTTACAAGATTATAAGTATTAAGGCCTGAACTGAAATCCATGACTGTCTAGCTCAAATTTTCCAAATGTTTCAATCAAGCTTAATTAAATATAATGATGAAAAATAGTTCCCATTTTTCTCATTCATACTCTGTGTTTTGATCGACATGTGTGCATGCCCTCCACTATGACAGCTCTTTTGGTCATCATTCCCTACAGGAAGACACAAAGAACACAATGCCATTGCCTTGATTACCACCAATTCAGTAATGTGAACTAATGACACAAGTTTCTCTGCTGGGTTTTTCAGCTTTAGGAAATGCTCACAACTTTCAGGTATTTTTCTTGGTAAATACATTTTCATTAAATGTATGAGCTTTCTTTTTCTCACAAGTGAAAGAGTATATAAAGATTTCCAAATTTTTATAGATTAAAATATGTGAAATTAGTTTTTAGATGCCTTACCGTCCATAAGTCCCAGGGCAATGTCTAAAAGCAAACAAAGAAACACTGTGAGTAAAAGTCCATATTGTCAGTGATAAATACAAAGAAGCCCTGTTTTTGATAATAGAAACACTCCATTTCTGTTACATATTTTGGTAGACACTCGTCACATGTCTATTAAGAACTTAAAATGTACTAGTCTAACTGAACCAACATTACTGAATTTTAGTTTATCCACTTGTAGATACCATGAGAGCAGTGGGGAATCTAATCAGCCTTTTTCTTTTATAGGAGTTTGCTTGTTAGTGAGAATGATTTACAATGATGAACATGGTACTTCAATATCCACACATCATTAAAACAAAATTTTTTCCAAAACTAGGAGTTATTGTATCATTGAGGGAATGTAGACTTTAATCCTTAACTAATGTCCTTGCCTTTCCCTACTATCTCAAGAATACATATTATGACCAGTTTGATGGCAAACAGATCCTTAAATATACTCCAATATACTGGGTTAGAGAACACACAGATTAACTGCCAATCATGTACATTAGTAGGTGCCCCTTAAAACATATTAATGGTATGCTTGAGGTGCACTCACTACTGATATACTGATACTTAATTATAAAGCTTGCCCACCTATGAAGGAATCAGAATGGTTACAGCAACTTGTACTGAGAGATCTTACTTTCTCCCTAAGACTGGGAATTGCTAAAGTCACATTGCTTTATACATATGCCTTTGTGACTCAGTTTGCACTCACCCACTTGTTTGCATGCACTAAAGGTAATCAGAAAACTAGGAAGACATTTGTTTGCTTTAAATGGGTTTCCAAAGGCTACAGTTGCCTTATACAGATTAGTCAGGCCCTGTGGTGCAGACTGATGTTTCCTACACAGTCTATCCCCATTCCAACTTCATCTCTTGGATAGTCTTTTGGTTAGCACCACTCAGAGAACAGTGAAGATAGGAGAGAAGGGTTCCTTTGAAAAATGGCACTGGTTTGTATCTGCAATGCCTTTGTGTTTGATATGCATTTCCTGACTATCCTGGTGGTTCCTCTCTTTATAGCCCCTTAAAAAAAACAGATAATAAAAGCGATATAATACAAGTCCCTGCATAGTGTAGACAGCAGCAGCATTTTCTCCAAAGGAACTAGCAATCCCTAAATATTGTGTGTACTGCTCCTGCAGATCCTGAAAGGATATGCTAGCTTGTGTGAGCAGTGCAGAGACCATGAGGTAAGTTGTTCCTTGGCATCTAGAATATCAGCTGACAACAAAGTCTCAGCGGTAGGGAAAGGAGGTGACTCTGAGTGAAGGAGAAAGGGCATCTCAGAACCTGATAGCCTCTTGCAGTCTCCTTCAACTTGACTTTTCTCCTTAGAGAGGAGAGGCAAATGTGTAGACTCCTTTAGGTGACTCCTTTAGAGACAACAGACAGCCAGAATTGTTTCCTGTCTGACAGGAAAGAAGACTGAAGGGACATGGAGCCTTCCCTAATTGCAGTAATTTACGTACACTGTGGTTTTCCTAGAAGAGTTTAGAGACAGCCTCTAAGAGATCCTTTTTATTTGCAAAGCACCTGTAGGGTTAGCTGTATTTGTCTCCTATAACTCCTTACCCAGTCCCACTTACAGCAAATAAGCCTTCAGGAGCCAAGTCAGATTAGCAGAGAACAGATAAGCAAGAAAACTGTGTACACTGGCCATTTGCACTCCTCAGGAAGACTGCATTTTGGTTATTTGCACTCCTCAGGAAGAAGTTAGCAATAATGATTCAAGTCAACATGACTAGTCAATTCCCAATTGAAGCTTGTAATACATTTTAGTTTCAATTTGCAGTATATTTGTGAATCTTCAAATTTCTCAAAGTCAAATGCGAGTGCCCTCCTACTCCAACACACACACTTAATGTCAATAGTGCTGATTTGTGTTTTGGTTTGAGACAAGGTAACCCAGTCTGGCTCTGCACTTTAAATCCTCCTACAGCATCCTCTGGAGGAGCAGGACTGCAGGCATGGACCACCACATTTCATCCTTCCGTAAGAATTGGCAATCAGACACTAACCACTCCAGAAGTATCATCCATACATCCACAGGTACACACACCCAGTGCAAGGATCCTTCTGACAGAACCGTATCACAATAGCTACTGGCTAGGGAGAAGTGAAGAAGTAATGTACAAGAACAAGCACAAGAAACAGGGCACCCTACATCCACCAGGGATCCAGGGACCAGGGCAACATCTACCGGGGACCACGGACCAGGGCAGGGCTCTGCAAGATCGCAGCTTCAAGCTCAGAACTATCCAGGCTGCAAACACATCTCTGTGGAGAAAGGTCTGTTGGTTATTCAAATAGACCTTAGCTTGAAAAGTATGAGAAAGGAAGCAGTGAAGACCGGAAGCTAGAAGATCTTTGTTTAGGAAGGCATGAGGTGCGTTATCAGAACCTACACTCGTCTGAGAGAAATGAGGCACTGGTCACTACCCTGTGAGACACGACTCTGTGGCAAAAAGCTCAATGGCAAGAGAAGGCTAATGGCACAGAGTAATATAAAATATTTGGTACTAATAAGGCCTTATTTCTATACCTTACATATAGGAAATATTTTAACCAATAAGAAAACTTTATAATATTTAGTTGAATGGTATAGGGATCAGCGAGTAACTAGGCATAATTGTCAAGGTTTGTCAACCCTAATATCCCTTGCTCACTTTATACCTGAGACATGGGTGAGTGGGTTGCTGTAGCAGAACCTGCAGGAGCCACATCAGGCTTGAAAGGGTCAAAGTCCAGATCCAGCAAAGTCTCCTCCTTCTTCACCTCCAGGACTTCATTCTGTTGAGACAGATGGATAGTTCACGGAACAGGCCAGGTGGGGTGTTCACTGAGATGCTCCTAGCCATGTCAGGGCTTCATGCAATGCAGTGATAAAGTCTAGTCATGCATTTCCCATCTTCCTGGAACACACCTCAGGCTAGATTTCTCATTAAGGGGAGGTATCATAGTACCACACAGGTAAAAGAAATATCCTTTTTGAATATCTCAAACCATGTAAATCAGAAAATTACACATATCCAAAAGAAAACTACAAATAACTATAAAAATAAAAAATGTGCTGAGGCCTGAGCCCATTATTATAACCCATTTCTGTGGTACACCTCTAAGATGCCAAGACACAGGAAAGAACCAAAAGAATGCTCTTGGCCATCTCACCTCCCTCATTCTTCCACATATGGACTGAATATGAACTGTGCCCAGATGCTCAAGTGTGTGAACACCTGGTCCCCACCTGCTGGCACTTTTGGGGGAAGATTATGGTAACTTTATGTGGAAGTGTTAGAAAGAGGTTCTGAAGTTTTATACCCTGCCCCCTTCCTATCATCCCTCTCTTTCCTAACTGTGGACTCAATGTGACCAGCCATCTCTTGTGTTCCTGCTGGCATCCCCTTTCCTATCATGATAGATTGCCTCTCAAACCTTGAACTGAAATGCACTATTTACTTCAATTGCATCTGGAATTATTACTCCAGTCCTAGATTTAGTTATCATATGATCCACCCCACTATTTGTGTGTGTGTGTGTGTGTGTCTAGAATGGTAAAAGGGAAAGAAGACAGAGAGCGCTATGCTAGTCAGTATTTCTCACAAAATGACACATCTACCTACTGTAGAATAATACTTTTGTACACTGTGAATATTTACTACTGCCATCAGTTACTAAAAAGCTGACAGGCTAGTAGTTGGACAGGAGGTTAGGTAGAAAAGCCAAACTGAGAATGATGGGAAGAAGGAAGGTGAAGTTGGGGGAGACTCCAGCCAGTCACCTAGGAAGCAAGACATGCTACAGGACATATAAAGCCACCAGCCATGTGGCAATACATAGATTAATAGAAATGAGTTAATTTAACTGTAAGAGTTATCTAGTAACTAGCCTGAGCAATCGGCTGAGCATTTATAAGCAATATAAGCCTCTGATGTTTATTTGGGACTGGGGGGTCAGGAAAGGAAAATACTGCTTACATCCACCCTGTAATGTTTCTTAGTTGGGAAGCAAGTAAGCAGCTAAGACACAGAATAAAAGTCCTATTGTAATACTATAAAGACTGTATCAAACATTAGCACCCATTCACCAGTGGCAATGGGACACAGGAAAACAGCATGGACTTGATGCTGGATAAACCTGGACTCAAGCTACAAAGTAAAGGGCAAAACTGAGACAACATCTCCATAAAATATACCACAGTGACAGGAATTGGGGGGCAGTTTCACACAGTCAAATAACATGCTTTTGATGTTTTGTGTTTCATTTTTGAACATTTTGCTGTATAGAAAATGAAAGGTCACATCAGTGGGTCATGTGCAACATAAAGTTGAAGTGTTTGCAGAAAGATTTTAAAGAATGGGAATTGTTTTCATTACTGGTCAAGGAAACAAATTTCAGAATACAGAAATGCACGAACAGGTGGGGGATGTAAGGGTAATACTTTAACATCCTGCATCCATTGTGTAGGAAAATTACTTGTGTATTACTCTTTGTGCCACCTTTTAAATGCATAATGCATTCTTATCACCTAAGTTAATACTGTATTTACTGTTATTTTTAATGTTGAGGGACAGATTTTTATCACACTCTTACATATTATTTTAAAATGTAAGCATTTTCAATTAAATGACATTTAAAACATAATTTTAACCAGTTATGTGTACCTTTTGTTATGTTTTTAGTTATGTCTATTCATTGCATGGAGTGAAGGCTTTCATAAACATCTTTTGAATCAAGAATACTTTGACCATATTCACCCCATATGTCTTAATCTGTCTCCCATTCCCTCCTGGTCCCTTTCTTTTCCTAGACAAAGAAGGGCATGATAGTTAAGTTAGAAGGAAGAAAGAATTAAACTATTCATAGAAAGCTATGATACATACAGAAGAGGCAATGGAATTTATAAAATACTGTAAGAACTAATAATTGAGTTTTCAAGGCTTCAGTACACAGGATTAATATATAAAATTGTATTTACATATAGCATTAATAACCACAAAGTAAAAATTTCAAGTATGACTTAGACAGTACCAATGTATGAAATACTTAGGATTACACCAGCAAAGAATGTTAACATCTGCGTATTGCAAACTATAAAAGAAGGCACAGTGAAGCCGGAAGAAAACTTTAAAAGAGAAATACAATAAATTTATGGGTTAAAAATTAGAATTTATAGATGACATTAACCTGTACACTCAGTACCAACCAGTAACTATACTTAGGTTCAACAGTATCACTCCAACACCTAAAATGCATGTCTAACTAAAGCTTGAGAGTATCACCTTCATTGACATACTAGTATACTCACCATACCCACTCTACTGGTGGTTTCTTACATGTGTATATAGGTCACTTAGAAGCCTGTACATTTTAAAATGTGCACCATACTATATGTTAACACAAAGTACATTTACTAATGAAAACAACTACCAGTAGGAAAAGCTACATCTGCTTTGACACACCTGCACATTTTCAGTCGTCCTGCTGTTTATTGGGATGAGGTCAAGTCAAACTGACATAAGATTATCTCACTATATATGCAGTAAAATATTCAACAGATTATAAAAAACTATAAAAATTTAAAACCATATTTTATTTCACTATATAAAGATGGAAAATATGATATAATAACAAGATTATTAAAACATTACCTCTGGAAAACTGAATTATACTTTCTAATTTTTATCTGTGCTTTGCTTACTTTTATAAACTTTTTATGTTAATTATATGTTATTTTTAGCATAGATAAGCTTTCAGAAACAATATGAGGTAATGGATATTGCAATTTATGGCTACAGCATGTCAGCCAAACAAAACCCCATAGCATCACAGGTGCACACACATGCATATAGACAGTACTAAGCCATAACCCATTATTTCAGTGATCCAGACTGATGAGAGCATAGGTACTACTTCTAGAGATTGTTTCCCGCTTCTATTCTTTCAATGTATGTTAAGAAAGCTTACTATATCCCAAGCCTTTGTTTGCCTCCAGAACTTCCTAATAAGGCAGAGGAGCTCAAAAGGGATGTTGAAGGCAGAGAAGACAAAGCTTTTAGGAACAAGTCCAATTAAGAGTTATTTTTCATGCAATATCAATACCTTTCACTTAACCTGTACAAGCTCAAGCCAGACAGAATATCAGCATGGAGAGGGTATGTATGTATAAAGTCTCATCCCTAATTGAGGAGCTACCATAATTGACAATTTCAGCTTTGGGGACAAGGAGAGTCAATTTTCTCTAAGGATATGATATTTAGTAGACTGACCAAATTTTAGTGGAAAGCCATGAACCCAAGAATATATAGGCAGCACAAAATGTCCCAGAAGAAGAAGGAGAAGGAGGAGGAAGAGGAAGAGGAGGAGGAGGAGGAGGAGGAGGAGGAGGAGAAGGAGAAGGAGGAGAAGAAGAAGAAGAAGAAGAAGAAGAAGAAGAAGAAGAAGAAGAAGAAGAAGAAGAAGAAGAAGAAGAAGAAGAAGAAGGAAGATAATGCAGAGGAAGAGTAGAAGAGGCAGAGGATGAGTAAGAGGAAGAAGTCAGGGCTGGGTGAGTAGGGAAGAGTGTGGTGTGGATCTTGGAGGAATTAGAGATGGAGTAAATTATTACCAAAATATAAGTATAATAAAGGATTCATGCATAGGATTGCTTTTTACTGTCTACATTCTTGGGAGGTAAGTTTAGGAAAGGATGAGATATCCTTTAGCAGTTTCTTTTTGTGAACAAAAAAGTTAGGAAATCAGGAAGGCATTTTGGTCTAGCATTCCACAGTGTCTTCATGAGTAGGAAAAAAGCATTTCCCACAGGAAGTTCTGAACTATAGCTAAGGTTTGGGCCATTCGAGGGCTCTGCAGGCTTGCTGGAGTTCTGTTCTCAGTCCCAAGGACACAGCTGGAAAAGCGTTGTTGCTAAGGCGATTTTTCCATCAGGCAGGATAGATTTTACTTCTTATATTTGCATCATCTGGCCAGGATGAACACAAGTGTTTTTCTTTCCCATTAAGTGCATGATAAAAATAGCCATTTGCAGCCATGAACTGTCTTCTAAATGTAGGATGACTCACTTAGTAAACAACCAAGACAACAGAGAAAAAAATCATCTTGCATTAATGTAGAGAGAAAACTATTCAGATAATTTTCAGATCTCTAGTTTTCAATACTTCATTTTTCATCAAGAATTTGCTCTTTCCTTTACTTTCCATTCTTCTGTGCATTGCTCAAAACAGTATCACCCAGATTATACAATCCATTAGTTTATAATATATGTCCTGATATACAGTCCTTTCAATGCATCTAATATTATAAGCATGTAACATGTATGTGTCCAAAAAGACTATATGAAACACTTGAAATAAAGCTGTTTTATATGGGGCAGTTGTAAATGGGCAGTCATCACACAGCCTTGGCTTGCCTAGACAGCTTCAAGGACAGAATCTGTTAATTTAGTGCAGTAGTCAATTCAGCATCACTGACTTTGACCATGTAGACTTCCAATTGATCAAATCAGCATCTCTCTGATTGAGGTCCCAAGACTAAAGACTGCTAGATGTGTTAAAATGAAGCACAAGGCAGCTTTCAGTCACAGAAGGACAAGCAATTGAGCAAATTGTTAAAACACTGCAAAAAGGCAGTTTCTATTTGAAATAAAATTAGATTTTCCACTTAATAACTCAAGATGACAAACTAAAATATAAAGATGACAAAATAATATATAAATTTATATAAATATAAATTCCATTTCACATCTCTGCACATCTTGATGTGAAACCAGGGGCCATTTGGTGAATGGAAACATTGGATTTCATACTCTGTGATCCAGCTACTGGAGCAGGGTGTCTTTCAGATAAAACAAAACAAAAATAAAAACCAGAACCCCTCTTCTTTCTCCCTCTTAAAATAAAACAGGTTAAATAATGTCTCCCACCCCCAATGGACTGTCATATGTTTCTGGTGAGTTTCAATTCCAAAATCAGTTGAGCTTTGCTCCTGAAGGACTCCCTCTCCCCTTCTCTATCCAACCCTGCTCCTATCTCTTTTACTCAACAATACTAGCAAGAGTTAATGCTTCCAGAAGCACTTAAGGACTCTCCTGGCATTTGTAATTTTCAAAAGTACCTTGATTCTCCCTCTCCCCACCATGAGGGTCCTTGTAAGGGAGCCAGAAAACTTCAAGTAAAAACACTTAAAGAAAGAACACTTCTGAACCTCATCTTTACTTCCAAACTACTCTGTGTGTCACCTTCTTGTCATTTAAGTAGCCTCATCTCCTAGACAGGGATGTCCTCAGCTAAATACACAGGCTTCTAGAGGACTAAAGTCCCTACTTGTGATGGAATTGAGAGGATGCTATGGGTGGACACAGATAAAAGCAACTGATCAAGGACAAGCCACCCAAAAATATGCTCAGTGCAATTGTTAATGTAGAAAACCAGAAAATATCTCTGCCTAGTAGACAACATATAGGCTGATGCAATCTTAGCTACAAACATGTGGCTAAGAGTCAGAGGTTGGTAAGTTCAGTTGATAGGAGAGTAAAGACAATGTTGTGATGTAAAATTGACTAGTGAACTGAAGTTACAATGTAAGGACTGCATAATAACACAAACTGATTTTTAAAATATGATGTTGATAAATTCTCAAGGGAGGGAAGACATGATGAAAGAAAATAGGCCAGAGGGTATTATGTCACAATGGTAAGATGACAGCACTTTTCATTTTTATGCTTTCAATATAGTCTGCAGTAAATAATATTATACTCAGTAAATGATAGAATACTCAAATTCTATACATTGTGTATGCAATCTTTTTTTACACAAATATATTAAGCCTAAGTAACAAAATCTTACTAATGGCTCAATATTTGCTACCATGTAATATTCTCTACAGCTACCATGAAATTCCCTCCCACCATGGTCCTTTCACAGGCATCCCAGCTGCCCTGAGCACTCACCTGAGAAGGGGTCGTCACATTGATTTCTGGAACAAAGTTGTCCTCAAAGAAATTGATGATATTCTCCTGCTTCAGTTCTTTTGTTGGAGTGACTTTAGGCAGAGGTGGTACAGGAGGCCCTTTCCTTGTCTAGGAAGCATCAAATAGAAACATGGTAGCCAGAGACGTTGTTGATAACATCTTTGAGGAATTCCCACATAAACACAGCTGTGTAATCAGACAGACTTATGAATGAAACTGAAATGTGGGTAGGTGCAAGCCTGCTTGATTCAAGTCAGGAGTGCTGTCCACTTGGGGGGTTCTCTGAACACTGACAAGCAATGATCTTGGAAGAAGTCAGATCATGAGCTAAGAATTCATGCATCTCAATTTGAGCAGTGTCCCAGGCTGTAGGACCTATGATATCACATGGAGGCCAGACATTCTCTCAGCTTAACTACAGATGATTTCTCTTGTCTACAGAAAATTGGAATTTCAAAACAAAAATTAAGCCCATTTTTGTTTTGTTTTGTTTGCTTTTTCCAATTGAATCAATGAGACCAACCAGAGACATCTGCCACTTCACTTTGCACTTCAGGATTTTGAAATGAGAACTTTAGAATCTATTACATGTATCTTCTTACAACTTTCAGCTGCAACCATATTTCTGAAAGCTTATACTGGACCATGGATGGTAAATGTCCCTACAGAGATATTATTTTCATTCAATGTAGGAAAATCAAGTGGTAATTTTTCCTCTTTATTTCCTTTTGCCTGGTCCTTGTAATTTCTTTTAACCTGTTACAGGTTTTACTGAGGCATCATTCACTCACATGTAACACAATATGGGTGATGGAATACCAAACATTACTGCAGTCCTAGGTAGTCTCCAGCATTAAAAAGGAAGTCCAAGAAGAATGCAGAATGAATGGAGCTTTGAAGATGTGATTTTTGTTTTTCAAGGCTAATAACTGAACTCAGAGCATGGGGTAAGCCAAGAAATTGTTCCATCATTGAATAGACCTCCTGCCTCTGAAAGACAGGATTCTAAGAGAAAGTAGAGATGAGTACATTACAGCTCAAGAAGCTGGGGATGGCAAGAATGTCCAAAGGAATCAAACACTCAGAATAGAAAAAAAATCAAATAGAAAAACAGACAAATCATAGTAGTAGTAATGTCTACTGCCTCATACATTAGTCTTGCCACAGAAACATTTTTATAATACCTGGTCACCACAGGATGATCCAAGAGAAAATCACCTACCCATGAGTTCTATCATGACCCCAGTATATTCTTCCTACCTGTGAAGGTGACCTGGGTCGCACAGGGGCAGGAGATGCAGGTGCTAGTGTATGGTTGGGACTGGCTGTTGGGCTGGGCAGGGGCGAAGGCTCCTCTGGGGGTGATGGTGTCTTTGCAATGCGAAGAGGACCCGAATCACTGGATGGACACAGAGGATTGAGCAAGAGGTCTTCTAAGAAGCAGAACTCCTGTGACCCAAGATTCTTTATCCCAAAGAAATCCTGAAGCTTAATGTCACTGTTATTTTATTCCCCATTTCCATCCTAATTATAATTATTAGCAATAGTAATAGATGCTGACAACCAGCACCACTTAAATTGTTGCCTATGAGCCAGAACCCAGCCAAACATGACCTCTTTTCTTTATGTCAGCCATGCAGTTTTGACCCCACATTAGATATGCAAAAGGCAGAGTGTAAATAAGTTAAAAATAAGAAAAACTCATACTCATATTTTACCACATTCACATTTAGATCTTAGTACAAATGTCTTTTTCTCTCCACATGCAAAACAAGCTTCAAAGATTTCCCAACATGAGACGTAGTAATAAAACCAGCTTCACTTTTTATTGACAGGAGAATCATGTCATGCTACAATCTATAGAAAAACTACCCAGAAAACTGTCACTTCTATTTTCCAAGGCATCTCAGGAGAGTGTTAATAAATCTTCTGCGGGAATGCTTTTTGGTTACATTTGAGGAGTCACCAGTTACTTTTCTCCACGCCTTATGAAACAATGACTAACTCAGACACCTTGCAATGTGCAAGCAGACCACACGACAGGCAAGATTCCACAACTTCCTGAGAAACCACCATGTTCTAGGCACCTTGCCAAGTGTTTGGGGACAGCTTAACATAATGACTCAGATGGCAAGTGGGACACATCCTACTCTCTAAGAACTTCTAAGATAACAACCAGAAGGAACAGAGTCTGTGACCTAAATAAGAGAGCAGACACAGCAGCGTGTTCTACACATTCAAGAGCTAAGGGAGTGGGTTCTTCAGAGAGCAGATGCTATGTCAGTGGTTCTCAGCCTTCCTAATTCTGTGACACTTTAATACAGTTCCTCATGTAGTGACCATCAACCATAAAATTATTTCATTGCTACTTTATAACTATAATTTTGCTATTGTTATGAATCATAATGTAAATAATTGATATGCAGGATTTATGGTAGGTGACCCCCAAAGAGGTCACGACCCACAGGTTGAGAACCACTGATCTACATGATTGGAGCTCTGGACCAGCAATCATGACTTCTGACTGGAAACACTCCCAATCTAATCTCTAGTCTAGAGGCTTTCCAGAGAGCTAACTCACCACCTTGCTCTGCAGATGAATGTAAAAAAATAAACAAATAAAAAGAAACAGTAAAAATAAGAAGAAAGAAGAACAAAAAAGAGGAAGAAACATTTGTTAAGTGACTATGAGCCTACTTCTTGCTTTAGTTGATTTTGGAACTGGTACTTTTCAAATGTAACTAACTGTTGCTTTCATTTCCATGTGAGGAAGTCATTCTTAGTTTCTTTATGCACTTTCCTTTACAGCATCCAATAGCCATTTGGATATTTAAACAAAGTTAGAGCCATATTTCTGTTCCTTTCCTTGCTTCTTTTAGGCCATGCCCTTCTCTTGGAGAGAAAAGACACACTTGCTACTCTGGCAGCCATAGCAAGGGCACAGTTATGGCCACTCTCGGGAGTAGTAAGTGACCAAAACAGCGGTCACCACATGCTGACCTATGGAGAGGTTGGCACTGCATATGTTTGTGAATAATTCTACAAATATATTCCTATGAGTGTTTCCAATAACTGGGGTAAAACCCACAAGTGTAAAATCTTAGAACTGAACATCACCTTAGAAACCATTTCATTCCAGAGCACTCTACTTTTTCTATCATTTTTTAAAAATGAGGTCTTTAACTACAGCGATTACTGGGCTTCAACAAGGAAAACAAAACCAATTGACCACAGAGCCAAATTAACCTTTTAGAAACCTAAAGGGCTTCCGATTGCTAGCTCAATGCTTGCTAAGCATGGATGGGATAAAAGAGACTTCAAAATCATAAGAGAAAGTGGGCATGCAATCAAACCAGGGTAAACAGCTAAGATGTGCCACTGGGCCCTCAGTCTATGACTGGCACACTAACAACAACAGAAAATAGAGTCATAATAAAGTCGTTTTGGGTGGTAAATGCCTAAGCAGAGATAGAGGGTGGAGAGGTCTCTTCAACTTCTTTCCTTTCTTCAACAGATAAGAATCAACACACAACTTTGGAATCTTCGAATATTTTCTAATCTAGTTAAAGTAACAAGTAGAAATGATCACTATCCCACACTATTGCTCTCAGGTTCCATGCAAACAAGAGAGGCAACTACTTACTTGTACTGTGACCAGTAGCATACTGAGGTATCTGAAGGCCAGAAGGAAGTCTAAAAGCTCAAAATCTAAGATTGGGAGCAGTCTCCAGGTGGGAAGGGTCCTTTTAGACTTTTATAAGGTGAATAAAACAGACTCCAGAAAATTCAACACACAGTGCACACTGGCACATGGAACAGAACTAGCTCTGAGGAACAGTGGCCTACCTGGGAGCTCCTTGAATGCTGAAGGCCTTGTCAGCATGCTGATCACCAAGTTTCGTCATCACTTCATAGAGCTTGTGGCAAAGCTAAAGGGACAGAGGCCTATTAGCTACAGGACATCTTAGTGCCCACCCATGCTATTCTCCCTAAGAAAGAAATTGTTTAATGAGAGGCTACAATTACCCTAAGAATTAGATTGGTCTCAGGGCTCTTGAAATCCCATATACCAAATTTAAAATCTATAGCTAAGCTGAAATAAACCAAACACTAAGTCAACCAAATATATATTCACTAGAATTTAAAGAAGAAGAGAAAAACTAATTGTCTAAATTCTATTGTAGTATGGCTGTCCCGATGAACTACAAAAACAACAGTAATCAACATGGCTGATGCTTTTCTGAATATTTTGAGACCGATTTTTCATCAGTTTAGAGCATCACTTGAAATTTCAACTTCAACCAACAGAAGAGGAAACAAGATGGTGAGGCTATGACAAAACTTTGGAAGGATCTAGAGAGCTGTGTGTTTACTAATGACCAAAAGCAGTGCGATTCGTCCAGAGAGTAGTGACAAACCACTGCTACAGGAACCGTGTAAGAGGGTGAATTAGTGATTGTGTGCCATGCCCTGTTCTTCCTTTACATTGCCTTCTATAAGGGACACGGTCACCATTACTCACCACTGCAATTTCCTTGTGAAACTTGGCCTCAAGGCTGGAGACATTTTTGAAAGTATTGACATAAAAGCCAACTCGTCTACCATGGGAAAACACAAAGGAGAGACCAGTTAGCAAAAAAAAAAATAGATTTTAATGGCAATGAAACATATTAAGACTGTTTCCTATACATAATTTTTAACAACATTGGATTTAATAACATCTTGGAGTAAGCCTAACTTTTCTTAGCTGTTGAGTATACAAGCTGCCCGTTGGCAACATCTCAAACACATTTGTAAAGGGAAGTTATGGGCAGGGTGCTGGAACATGAGGCAAATTCCATCTGTCTTCATCTAAGATCCCTAACAGTAAGCACAAATGCCAAAGGGAGACTTATCCTGTCAACCAAGGATAAATTCCAAATGAAAAGTTTCTGGACTCTATTTTACTTAATTCTTTTTAACTCATCTGAGAAACAACAACTTTAATTAATTAATTTTGTTTTTTAAATAACATTCTCAAAAATAACCAGTGTTTTGATGGTGTAGTGAGAACTGAACTATCAATTAAAAAAGAAATTAGTAAGACCTCAGACAAAAGGAAACTTAAAGATTTCTTGCTTAAGCCGAGCCTTGCAGTGAATAGAAATGGAGAAACAATGAGGCTCGATGGAACCAGGAGCCATCAAGGTGCTTTTATTTGTTCCCTCATTTGATGCTCACAATAATCCCTTGGGACAGTGATCCTCATTTACTAGAAAAAAATAAGTGGGGATTAACTGTCCAGGGTCATGCAGTTTACGGGAAGAGAAAACCAGTATTATAACCCCGAAAGAGGAAAATGTAATAAAAAAAATCATAGAATACTTTACAAGGAATTTTATAACAATGATGTTTGTTATTTCAGTATCAGCAAATTCTACTTAAAATAGGTGTTTTTGAATTTTAACTAAAATAAAAACTTAGAGCCAAATTTAAAAACTCTGAAATGGAGTGACAATTGAATGGTGAATCTGTCCCATTAACAAGGCATTATTTTTCTGTGGCTTATCTTATATAGTAAATCCCTGCCACATTGCATATTTTTCCTATACTTACAATCCCCATTTGACCCTGACTTCACATATTTTTATAACTACTTCAAATCCCATGTTTTCCATGTACATGCATGCAAATGGTTCTCTGTATCCATGGTTCTATATACTGTGGTTCAACTATCTATGAATCAAAACCATCAGAAAACAGAGGGCTTCTGCATCAAACAGACTGTATTCTTTCTCCATCTTATTTTCTGAACAATTTACAACAGCTATTTGCATAAGTTTATCATGGCATTAAGTCTTCTAAGTACTCTAGAAATAATTGAAAGTGCATAGGAGGATTTGAGAGTAGGTTATACACAAATACTACATCATTTTATGTAAAGGGCTTCAGTAGTCATGAATTTTTGCTTCCCCTGGGGGTTCTGGGAACCAGTTCTCCACAGACACAGGGGACAAATATATGCATTTGTTCATGGACATATACTTATGCATATAGGAACATGACAATACAAACCCTGGCATAGTGTGTTTGGGAAAGAGTAAAGACTCAGATGAGACACTAGGAGGTGAGAGGTAGCTGGATCTCAAGGGTAGAGGCCCTTGCCAGGATGAAAATCACATTTATTCACAGACCAGAAGAATCATGTAGATATGCTTTGAGATATGAGAAAGGACATAATTTGCACTTGAATTTGAAGAGACAAGGTCAGACATAGCTATATGGGAAAAGAGAGACAGTGTGGACACTCTAACAAGACTATATAGAGGAAACCACTCACTGTAGTGTTTTCAGAGGAGTGTTTCTGGAGGATCAAAGTAGAATATATAACCCCCTTTCTTGGGCTATAAACAATCCTTTGTTTTAATTACTCAACAAAACTTACACAACTCTGTGTACATCCACAGTAGTAAGCTCAAATGATACCAGGGATCTGAGACTACATCTTAAACAGCAATTATGAATCAGAGAAACTGACTGTAAGATGATGCCATAAGCTCTCATAGACCATCCCTGGTGACGCACTTCCTCTATCAAGGCCTCACCACTTCAAACCTCAGCAAACAGCACCACCAACGGGGACCAAGTGCTCAAATGCTGAACGTTTTGTGGTACATTTTCATTCAAACTATGACAGTGATTATTGTTTTCAGTTTATTTTTTCAATGACTAAATTCCAGAGAAGATCAATAAATGAAATTGTATGCCTAGCTCAATATTTCCTTATAATATGTTCCATATATGCAAAGTCTATTGAAAAGTTGGGATAAGGAAGCTTTGATGTGTCTGTCAAACTGTTTCTATTGGCTGAGCAAATCCAGGGTCTCACATTTAACCTATTCCAGGAAAAAAATCTCTCATTACATTTTAATGCACCTATGACCCTATTTTTAAAACTTGTGAACAATTATTACCTCTTTTTGTTTTTTTGAACATTTTATTCATTTTTTCAAACAATACATTTTTATCATGCTTTCTCCTCCCCCAATGCCTCTCAGATCCTCCCAACCACCCTGCCTACCCAATATGTTACTTCTTACTCTCTTTAAAACAAATAAAAAGGAAAACATATATTTAAAACCTACACAAAACCACAAAACCAGAAATCTAAATGAAACAAACAAAAGACCAATAAGACAAAAATGTCCAAATAAGACAAGAAGTTGCAAATAGCTTCTTGGTTAGTGGGTGGGAGCCCATGTGCACTTCCCCTTCTCAGAGCTGGGACTCTGTCTGTCTTGAGCTTGTGCAGGTCCTGTGCATGCTACCATAGCCTCTGTGAGTTCATATGTGCATCAGTCCTGTTGTGTCAAGAAGACACTGTGTCCTTGGAGTCATCCATCATCTCTGGCTTTTACAATCTATATGCCTCTTCTTCCACATAGATCCCTGAGCCTTAAGGAGAGGAAGACTTTGATGAAGACATCCCAAATCCTTCACCATGTACATGAGATCATTATGTCTTTATTCCAAGCAACACAGTCCACTGGAGCCCAGTCCATTTCAAGAAATCATGTAAAACAGCCCCAGCCCTATCTGACCAGTCCTATTAACACCCATATACAATTCCTATCCGCTACTCATCCCACACATTCTCAGGTTTAATTCCCTCCTTTGCCACTGGCACTGTCACCTTCTCAAAGGGCCAAGAGTTAATTTCCAACGGTTTACCTTGTTCTATCAACTCTCTATATTTTCTGTATGATTCTTCATGCCTATCCTAAAATCAAGATTTTCAAACCATCGATATTCACTGTGCTGTTCCCTTACATCTGATGGAGTCATCAGTGCCTACCATGGGCCCTCTGATCCCTCCACCCTCTGATCCCTCTCTGGAAGTTCAGCACAGGTGAAGAAATATCATTAGTTCCCCTGTACTTGATCTTCCTATTGTCATGGGCACTCCTGGAACACATTCATCATTGGAGTGTTCTCCGGTCTTAGCTTCTTGAGGTTCTACAATTTCAGGGCCTTGATAGAATTCTGATTATTTCCTTCCAGGTTTTCAATCAGAGCTTCTTGACACTTCACACTGCTTCATACTGTCACTCGGGCATCGGGACATCGGGCATGATTCTTCAAACATAGCAAACATAAGATTGAACTCAGTGCATTCTCAAACCTTCATTTTCATTGCATAATAAACCTTTGAGAGAAGCCTTCCTCATCTCTGAAGTTACAGTGGTCAACCAGCAAAGTCAGTCTCCATTTTGTAATTTTTGTCTGACAGTTTACTTTTTGTAATTTCTTATCTTTCAGCTTATGCTGTAAGAAAATACAGCTCTCAGTAGAAGATCTATAACAACGCAGAGAAGTTTGACAAGCAGTGAGTGACCAATAAATTTTTGATAAATAGGTGAATCTAAACTTAACCTTTGTCCTATTCTTTCCCCATAATTCCCTCCTTAGCATTTGTTTTCTAATCAACCTCTTGCCACATTACATTAATTAAACTTCCAAGAACTGGAGCGTGAGAGATGTCTTAGCAGTTAAGCAGTTAAGAGCACTGACTGCTCTTCCAGAGGACCTAGATTTGGTTCCCAGTGCTCACATGGAAGCTCACAATAATTCTGAACTTCCCAGTTGCAGGGGACCTGACACCTTCTTCTGGCTTTCATGACTACCAAACACATGTGGTACTCAGAAATACATGCAGGCAAAATACCCAAAATTAAAAGAAGTTCCAAGAATAAAAAATCTACAATATCCATGCTTTTATTTGTGCACTCATCATCTTGGAACATTTGTTTACCAAATACTAACTTGAAAATATTTATCTTAAGTATCCCCTACAGCATCCTCCATCTTTATAGTAATACCTTATAACCAGCTCCAAAGAATCACAAGTTGGTCAAAATATAAATATAGGTCAGGAGGTAGAATACTTCTGTAGTGTGAGTGAGACACTAAGTTCAACCTCCAGCCAATTCCCCAAATAAATAATAAATAATACAATCTTTTGCAACCATATCTTCCTATATGCAGTTGATTATGTGTGTGCATTTGTTCATGTGTATAGGGTGACCAGAAGTGTACTTCTCATCTCATATTTTGAAACAAGGTCTCTCACTAAACTTGTAACTCCCTAATTGACCTGAGTTACTGGTAAGCTCCAATGAGCCATCTTTCTCTGCTCCTTATGCTGGGTTACAAATGCATGCCACTGTGGCCAACTCCATTTGGCAATGGGGATCTGACATCAGGTTCTCATACTTGTGTGACATGCACGTCACTGGCTGAGCCATCTCCACAGATCTTACTTCTCTTTTTTATACAATCAAATATTTCAAACAATTTCCTTTGCATGGAAGCAATGGACAATGGACAAAATAAACAAAGAACAAACTAAAGACAAGCATTCAGGTTAATATAATCCACCTTTTACATCCAAAGATGCAAACAGCGTGAAAGGAAAAAAGATGGAAAAGGGTGATGAGAAAGGTACCATGTAAAGAGTGAAGCAAGTATCAGACACATTTATTAAGAGAGATAAAAGAGGATGCTTTATAGCTTCATATGGTGGTGTACACCTGTAATCCCAGCACTTGGGGGTAAAGTCAAGGGGACTAGGAATTCAAAATATCCCTTTGCTATAAATCAAGTTAAAGCCAGACTGGGATATAAGAGACCTTGTCTCAAAGTAAACAAAAAAAACATAGGACATTTTGTAAGGATAATATCCTCAATCTGAAAATGGAGTAAAATATATTTTTAAAAAGCTGACAGAACTGAAGAGGTAAATTAGCCTGAAAATAGTTGACGTCAATAACTCAGCTTCGGTGATAAACAGAATAATTAGGCACAAGACAGAGAAGAGAGGACTCAATGAACACCACAGCACAACCAGACCCAGTGAATAATTTCAGAATGTCTGAGTTTGATGCAGGAATTCAAGCATTTATCACTGAATACATGTTTCCTGCTGCATGGCCAGTCCTGTGCATTTCCCCATAGGAGACACTGAACATTAAAAGTACTGACTTCAATTTCAGGGTTGAGCAATGTAAATGGGAAAAGAACTATGTACTTGTGAAAAATCATGACTGTGTGCAATTTCAGTTAAAGAGAGCATCAGATAAAAGCAGTGGAAAATTAAGCCTTCATATGAGATTAATTTCTTCAGGGCCACCAGCTATTTGGAAGGTATAGGGAGGCGACTGACTAAAAGTAATTCAGCATGGTGAGCAGAGTTCTGTTGGAGGGGCTGGAACTGCTGATGAGTACTGAGGAACATAAGGCATCCCTGCTTCCAGTAACTTCCTGGTTCTACCACTGAGTACTGAAAACAGAATAAACCACATAAACATCACTTGATACCGTGAGAACTGTGGAATGCCTGTAAATAAGAATAACACTTGGTGTCTGAAATAAGAATATAGCTCAGGTTAAAAATTCAAAGAACAAGCTCAGATGACTAGATGAAGTCTAAAAATAAGAGAAATAAGAGTGGAAGGAGTCTTATTGTAAGTTTTAAGATTAGGGGAAATTCTCCTAATTAGAGTTTGAGTCTAAACTTGAGAAACATATCATTGTCTAAATAGTTGCCAGGCACATATGAGTATTTAATTAAAATAAGACACAACAAAATAAATATAAAATTCCATTTCTCCGTCTCCCCAGTCATAACCTGTGTATTCAGCAGTTATACGTGACAAGAGGCTTCCATATTGGAAAGCATAAGTACAGTACTTCTCCCAGACAGCACAGAAACATCATAGACAAGGAAGGTGACACAGAAGAAAGCCACTCCTCTTGAACTGCTAAAGGGGGTATGTGCAAACTGGAGCAGAAGCATGTTTACCTTGACCATAACGATGGTAATTCTTCTTGTAAGTCAACATTGAACTCTTCAAACACTTTCTGAGCTTTCTGAAACTCCTCTTCTGCCTAGAAATGACACAAAACATGTTTACACACATGGGGAGCCATTCAGATACAGAAAGCATCACTTCATATGAAACAGGGATAGCCTTGTGGTATCTTGAGAAGGCTTTGAGGAGAAGTATTTGTTGAAATCCACACCATTTTTGTAATTAAATATGAAATATTAAGATTCACAAGAAAATCAATGGCTATTCTTCAAGCCTTGGTCTAATTTGTTGATTCTACATAAATGCTATACTGCTTATACAGATCTCTGCTGTGGATACTGTCCATGAGTGCTCCTACAGAAAAGACCAAGCCCCATGCAGAGTATCAATTATTACCAGGTGTATTTTCAAGATAGACTTGTAATTTGCTATAGAACATACTACAGAGAAAAATATTCAATCACCATATACAAAGGCAATGACCCACAGGCTGGAATTCTATGGCACAACTTTGCTGGTTTGCTTGGGAACTGGTGGGTAATGCATGCAGGATCTATCTGCGCAGGGTGGATGTACAGATGAAAGAAAGGAGAGAGGAAAAGATGTGAAATTTCATAAGGTTAGACAAGTAAGTTATAACCAAACTGTGAAGGTTCTACATGTCATGCTAGGAGATTTAAACCATTTTTTTTATAATGGGGACCACTAAGAGAGGTGACCAGTAGGAAACTTGATCTAGAGATGCCATGTTGGAAGATGCTTTGGCAATGGTGTATGGTAGAAAAGACAAGACTGGAATCCAAGGGAAAAGCAGAAAGCTGACATCATTTATCTGGCATCTGCAATGCTGACATACATGATTGTGGTGGCTTGAATGAGATGACCCCCCATCATCTCAGGCATTTGAATAAGTGGTTCCTAACTAGTAACGATGTTTGAGGGGCTTGCATGGTACAGCCTTGATAGAGGAAGTATGTCAATGGTGGTCAGGTTTTGAGACCTTAAAGACTTGCACAATTTGACTTTCGCCTCTCTGCTTCCTGCTTGTGATTTAAAGTGTGAGCTCCCAGATTCCTGCTCCAATTGGCATGCCTGCTTCTTGTCATACTTCCTCATTGTGATAGTGATGGATGCACATTCCTCCAAAACCCAAAGCCCCAAATAAATCTTTCTTCTGCAAGTTGACTAGGCATGGTGTTTATCACATCATTAAAAACGCAACTAATACAGCAATAAGAGCTGCTGAAATAAATCTTCTCCAAGAAATTAATGGAATGCAAAATGTAACTTCTGTCATTATTTTCAATTGGGGGTCTTGTCTGAGAATTCCAAGGTTGGCCTCCCACCGGAATCTATATTTTAGCAGTGTTCACAGATTATGAAGAAGCGCAGAAATTCTCCTTGGTTTCTTTGATCTTGCAACACTGAAAAGGGCTCAAATTTATTCTGGCCAAAATGCGTCAGTAAGTGTCACTCATGGATCTCACTTAGAATAACATGAAAAAAGCTTATTTTAATGAAAGTACCTTAGAAAAGTGTAATTTAGTTTGAAATTCTGTCCTGATTGCAGTCTTCCTTTAAAAAAGAAATATCTAATTTTTAAAAACAAGGCTGCTAAGCCGGGCGGTGGTGACGCACGCCTTTAATCCCAGCACTCGGGAGGCAGAGGCAGGCGGATCTTTGTGCGTTCGAGGCCAGGCTGGACCGATAGCCTCCGAAACAATACAGAGAAACCCTGTCTCGTAAAAACAAAAAACAAAAAACAAAAAAAAAAAAAAACAAGGCTGCTACATGCCTTAAGATTTGGAGAGTGATGTCACCCACTAGATCCATCCCTACCTTAGAAATCCGGCTCTCATCCTTCCTTTTGGAACTCTGCAGAGCCTCCAAATGATGGCGAGCACTGTCATAATCCACGAGCTTCCTGCTGCGCTTAGCGATGCGATTCTGCCAACATGGAAAACATATGAACTGATGGAGAGGTGATCAGAGTCTATAAATGCCAAAAGTCAAAGGTCAAATGCTTTCTGTGTCGAAGACAGCAGCTGAAGGCTTTAAAAGAATTGCTGCAGTTAAATGTGTATGTGACTAGGTGAGTACAGTTAAAGAAAAACATAGGAGTCTGTTCTCTTCTTCTACCATGTGGCTTTCTGGGATTTAACTCAGGTGGGTCCCCAGGCTTGATGACAAGAACCCCTACCCACTGAGCCATCTCACTGGCATGGAAAGGTGAGGGTTTAAGCAGGAGATAGAGGTGAGCAGCAATGTGAGTAGGAAGAAAGACAGCTAGACATCAGAACGAAGCTTCCAGACCTTTGTGTGGTAAAGAGTGTCCCTTCTGATAATGAGTCCAGTCATGAGTGGCTAAAAGCATAAGCTTCCATCAAAGAGCAGTAAAATCCCAGAATTGCTCTGGTGTATCAGGCAAACCTGGACTCTCTATTAGCATCTATACTCACTCTTAATATTCTTGCAGTTGGAAGATAGGAGAAAGCCATGGTAGATTTTGTTTTATGATTATAATAGCATACTAATGGGAGCTCCCTAAGACAGCTTTACTTTCTAAGAAATCTTTTTCAGTTATCACTGTCCTTTATGTATTAGAGTCTCTAGAGCTAACATATCACTTTAGAAATTCTGGTGTGCAGTACACAGAGACACTGTGGTACTGTGCTAGCTCATGTGCTAGCTCATTTCCATAGCCACCTCATTAATGACATTTCACAGGCTTGGTTCAGAAGTCCTGAACCACTAGCCATGGAGTACGGCAAACTTGACAACACAGAACTCCAGCCCCATGACCAAGTCTTTGATTAGGACCGAACTTTGCTAAACCAGGACCATTTTCATTTGCATAGGGACCATATAGCCAGAAATTATCCTCACAGTGACCCACACTGAGCTCCCAGACCTGGATAGCAGCCAACATGGACTGTTCTCCCTTATGTGGAACAAGCTACTTTGCAGGAAGCTACCCATAAAGAAACTCAACCTAAACAGAAAAGAACTTCTCTGGGATGGAGACCTCCATAGCACAAGGTCCCTGTCCTTCAAGATATGATCTACTGACCTGTCAGCTGCTGAATACCCTGTCCACTGCTGACTACCTACCCGCTGATGACTTCTTAGTCCACTGCTAACTACCTACTCACTAATGACTACCTACCCGCTGCCCTCTTACTGTGTTCTCTAGGAACTATTCTCCATATTTTGGACTAGTGAGTAAATCTGGTCATTGTTTGCTACTATAAGAGCTACTATAACAAGTTATCCATGTTGAAACACAAAGAGGAAAACAGAATTAAAGAGAGAACTGGGCCAGAGAGATAACCTGGGGCATTCGTAGAACCCATAGCCTATTTTGGGAAACCATACCCATTCTCATAAATGTTTAAGAGGAAACTGCTACTTCTGCTACATGGGCTTCAGATTCCTCTCTTCAGACACCACGCCATGTTGTCTGTATTTCATGTCTGAATTCTCCTTAGAGTCCCCATCATGCCATTGGTTATTTGTCTTTCTGTCTATGATGTCAATTCTCTTTTACTAGTCTTCACTCTTTAACAGTCTGTCTGTAACCCTCTTGAACCCCTGTCTGAGAGCTTTCAATAATTTTCTGTGTGTGCATCTGTGTGCACATGTACATGTTTATATGTGCTTGCAAATATATGTAGGTACACACAAGTATGTGGAGGTCAGAGGTCAGATGTCATCTTCCACTGGATCTAAAGTTTACAGATTTAATTGCTGGCCATCTAGGATTTCAGGTATCTACTGACATACCTAGTTTCTTATGTGCACACTGGGCATCCAAACTCAGGCTCTCATGCTTGCACAACAAGACTTCACTGACCAATCTTCCCAGCCCCTCGACCACTATTATCTCTAAAATTCTGTATGCAATGGAAATAACTAGATCATCTTGTAAGTTGCTAAATCTCTGATTTGTTTTGTGATTCCCTTATAAAATTTTTAGGTGTCTATGGTAGTTAATCTTGGTTGGATCTAGAATCAATTAAACTTGACTACATCTGGGATCAATTAAAAATTAAACTTCTGGCCCTGCTTGTAAGAGATTTTCTTGATCAGGTTATTTGCCTGCTTACTACCTTCACATTGTGTTGGCACCTTCATCTACACTGTTATTTTCTGCCTTGTTAGTCCACCCTGTTTCTGCAACCACTGCTGTCATTCTTTGCCACCATCAAAATCCAGCTTCTTTGGCCTTGGAGCATGGGCTGGCAAACAGCGACTCCTTAGGGATCCTTCAGGCCTTCTGTGGTAGACTGAAACAACAGAGGCATCCAGATCTGTGGGCTCTTAGCCTCTCCGACATGAAGACAGCAGTTGGTAGACAACCCAAACCATATTATGTCCATCGGTCTAACCAGTGCTCTATCAACATGTGTTTGTTCTCTCTGTTCTGTTTCTCTAGAGAATTCTGATATACACAATATCCTTTGCTGATATTCTTCTACAGAAGGGGAGTAAACAATCTCACTTCTTTCATTAGGAGGTCTGTGTGTTTAACTGGAACTACAGGAAGACATACATAAAGGTATACATCTAAGAAGGAAAGATATAGAAAAGTATCCACCCCCAAACCTGAGAGAAAAAACATAAATGACCCAGAGAAATGAGATCCCAGTAAGAGCAAAAACAACACGCATTCTGTCCATCTGAGATGCAACAATACATTTATCTAGTCTGAGAACTTTCTTCCCAGACTTCTCTTTACTTAAACGTGGTGTTATGTTCTGTCTGCTACTTATCCATCACAAGATTAGATCATTCAGGAAAAGCCACATTCCAGCATCAGGGACAATTAAAAACAGAGCTTCATGACATAAATTTACATTAAGCTTACATTAACTGAATGTTTTCTAACTTTAGCTCTTTCTTTGTTTATTTGTTGTGGTTTTTTGAGGCAGGTTTCTCTTTGTTACCCTGGCTGTCTCTAGAACTCATTCTGTAGACGAGGCTAGTCTCGAACTCAGAGATCTGCCTACCTTTGCCTTTGCCTCCCCTGTTCTGGGACTAAAAGTGTGTGCCACCACCACCAGCTCTAACTTAAGTTCTTATCTGTATTCCACCTAAGTATTTCTTTGAAGATTAAATGGGGAGTAGAGGAGAGAGAGAGAGAGAGAGACAAGGAGAGAGGGAGACACACACACAGAGAGAGAGAGAGAGAGAGAGAGAGAGAGAGAGAGAGAGAGAGAGAGAGAGAGAGAGAGAGAGAAACTAACTAGATTCTCTGCTGAAGCTCTGGCAGGGAAAATGATACCCTAAGACAGAGTCTGTGGCCCCACTTCAGTTGTCAAACTATTAGAAAGTGGACATGAAAGATTTAAAATTTCTCCCAAATCCCATGCATGGGGAAGGACGGCTAAAGCCTTAGCACTAGCCAAAGGAGGAACTGGCTTTATGGAAAGAAATTTCACACAGTTCCAGCATCTTACTCCACAGTTCAATTAACTTAGATAAACTTGATATGCATGTATGTATGCATGTATGTGTATGTGATTAGATAGATAATCATAGTGTGTGTGCATATGTATGAAAATGAGAGAATGAAACACATTATTTTGTATACTAAGATAAAAAGTAATTTAAAAACAGTGAAAGTATAATATGAGCATAAGAACTACAGCAAACTAAACCTTAGAAAACATATAAGGCACAAAACAAAAGACTAGCTGCAAAATACTTTAAAATTAAGTTGTGAAAAAGAAATCTCTCAAGTTACACTATCCCCAGTAAAAGTAACTTGCAGAAATGAAGGTAAAAGAAAATTTCAGACAAACAAAAGTAGGAAATTCATTCCCAGCATAATACATTTAACCTAATAAATGGAACTACTTGATTCAGTAAGCAATATAAAGGGTAAAATTCGAGGCAAGTATTTATTTTCAATTGCATGAAGACATTACTACCCATTCTGAACAACAACAGCAGCAGTGAAACAGAAGCAATGTGTTATGGAGCTAATAACACATGAAGAGGCAAATACGGGTAAATCATAGCACACACAGAAGGATGATTGGAGCATATCATGAGATCTTCAGATGATGTATCAAGTAGTATAAACTGTGTGGAATTAAATATGACAGTTGAAAATGTATGTTTATAAATGTATGATAATCAGTAAAATGCTTAGTTAAAGACGTGGAACCAATAAACAAATAGGGCAAAACACACTGAATTCTGAGATCTCGACTTAGATTCTGACTTAATTAGTAGAGCTGACAGCCTCACATTATATGTCTCTGCAACTCTCTGGCTGTACCCAGATGGCCTAAAAATAAACACCATTTCGTGAGATGGCATTTGAAAATCTTTTAAATTGGGTATACTAACAAGAGTGAAAATAGTATTAATAATATACTTATGGTTTTGTACAACACAGTAACCATGGAAGACACTTCACAGCAACCTACGGGATGGCTATGGTAAGGGTTGTTTCCTTTTTACTCAGAGAATTTGGGGTTTCAGGAGATTAACCTGTAATTTGCCTAGAACTATGCACCATGTCTGAGCCTAACAGGAATTAAATCAGAAATCCACTCCACCCACTGACAACAACAGGAGTGGATGAAGGACTGGAAACAGCACTCAAGAGGGCAGCTGACTCTCTGGTGTTGGAGTGCAAGGCAAGCAGCTGCCAGAGACTGCCTTCTTCCAATTTGCACCTCCTGAGCTCTCTCCTGCCTGACTTCTGTCAACCCTACCCTGCTTCTGGAATTCTGTTAATGTTCTCCCCCCTCAGTCTCTGCTAATTATACCTGCCATTCAGCAATGATTCTCCACAATCTGCTGACACTGGTGATAGGTAAGTTCAGGAGGTTATTTACTCTGAGCAGCTTCAGTTCTTAATTTTCAATCCAGCAATGTTTTCCTGCATCTACTACATCTAAATGGCAATGAAATGTTTCAAGACACACCTAGAGGGGCCTTATGATAGTCACTGAGCTAGCCCAGTCAGGGGAAAGTGCATCCATTCAACGATGCTGATGGACCAGAATGGTGATAAAGCTCATTGTTTTTAATAAGCACCTGACTGTTTCCTTCTGAGGGACAGACACTTGTGTATCATTCAGTGTCTCCAGAGCTCGTCTATACAAATGTACCTCTGCCCTAGGGACATCTTTAATGTCTTCCAATAGCAAATCTTGAGCTATTGAAGATTGAATTGGTCTTTGAAAAGGACTGAAATTTAGTTACTGCCATGCTTCGGAATGAGGGAGAAGAGTGTCCTGGTAATTTGGGTTTGTTCAACAAATAAGTGAAGTGAGTCTTGTGAGACGCTTCCCTGTGTAACTGACAAGGTTCTCTAAGAAGGCAGCTTACTAAGGGGGCAGTGAATATTTTAAGATCTGTCAGTCACTCAACACATATAGTTTTGCACCGGTACAACATCAATCTTATTTCCCTTCCTGTATGACATTTTAGGAGTCTGAAACAGTAAATAAATAAATAATAAAGTTTCATAAGAACAGATTAACTTTTTCATACAACACAATTCTAATTAGGTACCCAGTAGTAAACTTAATTAAATAAGTCAATTTAAGTAATAGTAATAAATGTCAAGCAATAATAAATTTAATTAAAATTTCTCAGAATTACTGTCTAGATTAGAAAATAATTTATTACACTTTAAAATAATTCTCTAACAACCCCAATTTGGAATTCATTTTTGCATGCTGAAGTAAATATATGCTTAGTTGATCATGCATGGCTGCCAACTTAGAATCTAAACTACATTTATTAATAATTGTTCACAGCTGTAAGCCTGCCTGGGTTGGTAACATGTGGGTTTTAATTATAATGCTGATTTTTAGATGTCAGCACTACACAATGGGAACCATTACACAGAGTCCCCTGCCAGTCGCAGCTCAAAGGTCAAACATCATCCTCATGAATGGTGCTTCATAGCCCTCTGTGATAGGCTATAGTAAATGTTTGGGAATTTGCCTGAGGTTTTAAATGCACATAGCCTGTTGATTCTAATGGTAGTAAAAGAAGTCAGTTTTGTTCCATGCTTTGGAATCTTTCCACTTAGTTAATCTTACTCGTAGCATCGCGCTACTTTCCATCAATAACCCTTCATTAAATATTCACCAGCCATCATTTTATGACCTTAGGGAGTCTAGTCCTACTTCTCTATTACACTCCTTGAATACATGTAAAATTTAAATCTGTTTTCTCTCTCTCTCTCTCTCTCTCTCTCTCTCTCTCTCTCTCTCTCTCTCTCTCACACACACACACACACACACTGAATATAGCTATTGTTTGCTCTCCAAATTGTCTCTTTTCTGAAATATCTACGATAGTCCTTTAATTGCTGGTCATGCTACACAGTTTTCCAATCCTCTGCTTTGGCTGATAATTTTGTCAATGGCTCTTGACAGTTAAGGCTAAAAGGGGAAAAGAGACTTATCCAGCCTCTTCGCGTGACACATATAAAACCTCAACATGCATTTGCCTTCAGAATAGGGTGAAGAAGCCCTTAATCGTGCTGCCAGTGAAGGATCACACTCAGGTGTTTTCCTTAGGTAAAAGTTTCACTGAGTGTTATATCCTGTAGATTTCAAATGAATTGATCTGAGCAATCAGTGTAATCAGTTTTGATTTTGTTTCAACGCTGTAATTCTGTGCATATTTGCTTTGTAATTATACACTTTTAGGAAACAGAGGCAAGAAAGTAAGTGTCTCTGGGTAATACTGCACCCATTTTTTCCTTCTGAAATCCAGGTGCCCTCCAGTGGTCTACTTATCTAGTTAGCATCAGCAGTACTTAGTTCAGTTACACTACGAACAGACAACAGAATCAGACAAGTTGCAAGCTGATTTAAGGTAGGAGAATACTGCTTTCTTTATCGTCTTCTAACTTTGAGATCCTGATTTTATGGGGATTAAACTATCAGGTAATGAGGTAATATCAGAAGGTTTTCTTTCTCCCCTGGATACACTGTTTCAAACTACCAATCAATTCTCTCATGGAAAACAACAAGGTTCTTAGCTATGCAGCAAGTGCAAAGAAAATCCTTGGTTGAGAGACACTCAACGAGTGTGTAATCGTTTGAAGTAGTTCAATTGCCTGGCACAGCTCAGGATACGTGGCTGCCATGCCTTAACTCCCAGCTCTTATGTGAGTAGACTTTCAGATCTTCTATGTGACAATGAACTTGCGCATGATATTCCTAGACAGCCCCGTCTTGAAAAAGTATTGAGACACTGACTACTCAACACACTGAGGAGCTAGTTTCATCTTGGATGACACTTGAATCTACTACAGAATTAGTAACCATCGCCATTTCTCTGAGTTCTGTGCAAACTAAGTTTAAAAAAATGATCCAGAATCCTCCTTCAGAAAGAAAACATTTGACAAGTGTACAATGGTTCCACTTTTAGAGAGATTGCCTATGGAATTGGTTTTGGTCTCAGCACTGATGGGGTCCAGCACTAATGGATATTTGGGGAGTGGAATGATTTGGTGGTGGATAAGTACATAAAAGGTATTCAGTATTGAAACTGAAATCTACTGTGAAGCTTCAAAGTTTCCATTTCAACTACAGAGAAGGCCAGCACACAGTAGATTTGTGCAAGAAAATGCTTCAGATGCCCACAGGTACTGGAGCATAGCCTCCTCAGCCTGCTAGAAGGACAACGTGCCCTGACTCCATCTTGAAACAGAAGCTAATCCTGCATATCTTTGCACACAGACATTTGCTTAAGCCCGTCTTTACACCCAAAGTCAGTTCATCAATCATTCACTATTGTTTTTAACCTTGTGGGGAAGTTAAGAGCTAAATCAATTGTTTTAAACATAATGCATTTACATCCTACTGCAAGTACACCTAAAAGACATATATTTCATTTTTAATCTGAAATTTTCAAGGAGAGAAAAAAAAGCCCAGGTGCACTGTGACCACATGTAAATTAGCAGTAAATAGCAAAATATCAGATTTCTCCTCAAATTCACAGTTAGGTTTCTCCATTCCCTGTGACCATTTATTCTAATGAAAATCATCCCACAAGGTTTGGCTATAATGATTTGGATTTTTGGTACATTTGGTTTCCAAGTTTGTGTCTACAGGTTTGGAGATTAAAAAGACTTTGTCAAAGAAAGAACTATTGAAGGGTTCACTAAGAAAGACACTTTGATTTCTATCGCTGAATTTTATTTCACGATAATAGGAACAGAATAAAAATCCATGCTTAACTAGACGAAAAGTTATAAATGGCTTTCATTTCGGTTTGAGAACTTTTCATTCTCCCCTGTTGCCCTAGTTTCAATAACTACATGAAACCATTCCATTATTTCCTTCACACAGAGAGTGAAATACCTTTATGTCAGGAAATTGGCCCAGGTAGGTGTCCAGTGTCAGCAAGGACCCATCCACTAGTTTTTGATGGAAATCTTCCCACAGCACGTCACATTTCTAAAAGAAAAATAAAGAGACAGTGACTCGATAATCTCAGACACATTTCACTAAACTTCTAAAATATCTAAAACCATAAAACTTGGTGATCAATACTTCTGAGATATTAGAAGATACAATCCGAACTAATTAAGATACAAACATTAAGGCAGTCTGCTGTAGTTAACAATAGAAGCTAAGAGCATGTCTTCTTTAAAATACATCCCTGAATTATTAAAGAATACAGATGCTTTCCTTAGCAAGTTCTCACATCCCACTAGATGGACACTGGAGCTAAAAGATTGAGAAGAGGTCCTGTGAGACAATTAATTTCTCTGCCACAGTTGATGAAAGTAGAGCCAACCCAGACAGAACCAAACAACAAAACACGGCTGAAACATCATTTACAGAATGAAAAGTCTATCATACTGAGATACTCTTACCAGTTATGAGGTATACAGTGGATTGGGCATGGGGAGTGTCTGATATTTGTCAGTCTACCATTCCAAGTCTGGGCTGTCACTTCCAAATGTATGTGAGTAGTAAATTCCTCTTTAACTTTCTTTTTATTTATTCTTTGTATCTTTCACATCATACATCCTGATCCCTTTCATTTCCCAGTTACTTTGTATCTGCCCTCTGCCCTTGCATCTCCACCATCCCCCCAAAAAAAATTAAGACAAAAGAAATAATCCGCCAGGCATTGTTGGCGCACAACTTTAATCCCAGCACTTAGGAGGCAGAGGCAGGCAAATCTCTGTGAGTTTGTGGCCAGCCTGGTCTACAGAGCTAGTTCCAGGACAGCTTCCAAAACAATACAGAGAAACCCTGTCTCGAAAAACCAAAAAAAAAAAAAAATACCATTGTGGAAGCAGTAGTGTGACACAGTTGTGCAGTAAACACTTTTGTTCACATATCTTTACTTGTGAGTGTTCATTGCAAAGAGTTTTGGTCTGGTTTGAGGTCTCTAGTGTTTGCTACACTGTCAATGCTGGGCCCTCTCTGGGATTTCTCTTGAGAATTCTGTTGTTGCCCTGTGTTATGGAGATCTTGCAGCGTTAGGCATTTAGGACCATATGGGTCCCTTTACATGGTCCCATAGATCATAGATGGGGTGGATGTTGGTGTAGGCCAACACATAACCCTGGTTCTGGGCCTGGATAGTTGCAGGATTGGTCAACCCATCTGCCCTCTCCTGTCCTCACCATCAGGGTAAGCTCTCCAGCATTGCCCTGGCTGGTTCACCCCTTGCAGTAATGAGCAAAGGACAGGGCCAGTTCTCCTGCTTTCACACCCTCAGTGGTGGCTCACACACACCTGGATCATCCGGGTCAACTCTACCATGTTGCCCAGGCTAGGTGTAGGGGCCAAGAGCTACAGCTAATGAGAGGCAGGGACAGCTCCCTACTCTTATGACTTCAGGGATGGATATCCCATCCACACCAGCATATGGCAGATGAGGACCAGTGCCAGATCTCCCATGCTCATATTGTCAGGGTGATTCACTTGTACCCCTGACAATAGGGTCAGCTCTGCTGTACTGCCCAGGCAAGCTACAGGGCCTACTTTCCTGAGGGCTGCAGCTGGTGTGGTGGAGGGCCTGCTTCCTAGCCCACCACAGGTGCCAGGGGACAGGAGGGAGGGCATCTTTCCCTAACCTTCAGTGAATGGTAATTGTTGATTTTGTTTTAAGAAAAACAAATTTAAAGCTAGAAATAATGCCCCACACTATAATCACTGAACTTGGGAAATACAGGTGAGAAGATCAAGGTCAGCCTTAGCTACACAGTAAGTTTGAGTCTAGTTTAGGCTACATAAGATCATTTCTAAAACAAACAAAAGAGGTTTGATTTGCATCTACATTTTGTTTCCTTTTTAACACTTCAGAAACTAATTTTAGTCATTTTAATGCCCAATTTCAGAGCTCATCATCGGTGGTGAGTAGACACTCTGAACATGTAATGATCACTTGCTCTGTTATCCAAAGGGTGATGTTTGCACCTGGAAATGAGGGTTTAAATATGTTGGAACCCATAGGGACCTTTGTAGTATAGCAGCCATTTCATTAAAGAATCAGTGTTGCCGGGCGTTGGTGGCGCATGCCTTTAATCCTAGCACTTGGGAGGCAGAGGCAGGTGGATCTCTGTGAGTTCAAGACCAGCCTGGTCTACAAGAGTTACTCCCAGGACAGCCTCCAAAGCCACAGAGAAACTCTTTCTCTAAAAACCAAAAAAAAAAAAAAAGAATCAGTGTCAACAGTGGCATTGCCATGGACAAAATTGAATCAATCATATAATGTTCTAAGGATAAGAATACACCTTTCAATTTTTCTTTATATTTTCCTTGTCTGCGATTGGTTTTGAGAATACATTATTAGTCAGAAATGTACAAAGTAAGATAAGCATTTACCAACAAGTTGAAACAATATGTTTTTATACTGAAAAATATAAGATGATAAAAACACTTGATAGTTGCATTAGATAATGGTGTGTGGAAACCATTTGGTCAACTCCTCATTCTGAATGATTTTAGAAGATGGAATATATCCACCAAGAGTGTTTCTTATAGATAAATGCACCATCAGGGTGGCAGCACTGTCAAGCAGCATTCAGAGACTCTCTATGAACCTCTTTCCCAAGGCTGTAGAGATGTGCAGTTCATGGAATTGACTTTCTCCTGGGCTTTGGCTGTATCATCTAATTCAGGTCTTCTTTTCCTAGATGAGTTATATTGACTCACCCTAAGTGATGACATGACAAAGAAGGTTCATTTCAATAAAGAACTTGGGTGGAAGACAGTAGCTGCCTAGAAGCTCCCATCAGTTACTACAACATCAGCTACTACAACATACTCTGAACAATGACTAGGGGACCTGAACACAAAGATTCAAATGCATTTTCAGTTTGTATAATTATTATTCCCATTTTAAGTGAGAGTTAATCCCAAAAGATAAAGGATCTACCTGAGGTCACACAACCATTCTTGCTGTCTGTTCCACTGCCTTTTCCACAAAGTAATGACACCCATTTGCTCACTTCCCGCAGGGCAGGTGACCCAGAGCTATAGTCTTCAGTTCAGGTGTGAGGGTATTTCTGAGTCCAAAGTTGCCATGAAGTTCAGCTGATTTCAGTGAATGCACTAACTATACTACAGAGGATGGGCAGTGCTTCTTCATTCCAAGATGGTTGATTAAAAGGGATATAGGAATAAAAGGGTGAACTATTACATTAAAACCACATGTATTAAAAGGCTCTGCCAAAAAATATCCATTACAACCTATGCTATGTAACAGAAAGGAGCTGTTGTTATTTTGAATAAAAGCAATTTTTAACCAAAATCTTTTCAAAGTTTTTGGAATTTTTTGGAATCAACTTTCCCTCACACTGCAAGTGGGAGATGATTTAGGCCATAAAACTCCAGGCTGATTTCTGAGCATCTAGTCTTGTTTTATGATTGATGCCCTGAAGTGGGAGAGTGGTGAGTGGGATGAGTAGTGGAAGACTTCTGGAAGTCACCCCAGGACTCCTACAGCTGTCACCTGGGTCTTACCTCACCAACCATCTTCACATCTTCCCGCCCATACCAGTCTGGCTCGTAGACTTCATGAAGTGACTCAGTGAGCTTCATCGAGGCTTCCTGCATGCCTGGTATTGGAGAAAAACAGTTCCTGTTACATTATGTGGAATGAGGAAGGTATTGCAATCTTCTGCCTACGCCTACTTTGATAAGTGACACAAAAACAACTGTGAAGGCACAGCTACATGTTTCACCACAAGTCTCTGAGTCTTATATTCTTTCTCACAGCACACATTTTCAGTTACTTAACAGTGGTAGAAAAACACTGGGTTTCAGAAGTCAACACTGTCATATTCTAAGAACTGCAACAACAACATGCTCTAGTCACTTATTAAGGGCAATCTAACAATAACTATCTAGAACACTGAAATAATAGACAAAGCTGCAAAATTCTAAAAGCAAAATTAATCATGAATCACTGTAAAAAATAAAGTTATATATAAACTCAAAGTGGTTACTTGTTGTAAGCAGTAAAATTATTGAAAGTGGTTACAATTCAAGTGAAACTTAGGTGTTACAAAGACAAGTAAAATGCATTTTCTCAATATCTCTTAAAACTATGGATATAGTTTGGAATAACACCTTTTAGAAAACTTTGGATCATGAGCTTACAAGTCTAAATTTTCTTTTCACGTCAGTAGGTTGCAAACGCGCACTTAATAGTAGCAACAATGTGGATTGTCTATGAGCAGTAGTGGTATAAAGCATCTCCAGGGCTTTGCAGTCACCACCCACTTAACTCCTCCTGACATGGACAGACCCAGAAAAGCATGGAGGATAAGGTGCAAATGCTGGGTGGCTCAGGAATGACACCAGAACAATAGGCAAACAAGTGCTGGAAGACCTCACTTGGCCAAGCTGGTGTCTATGTCTTCATCACTAAGAGGTTAACATAGGGAAGCAGAGAAACTGTAATGCAGTGAAGCAAAGATCGAGACTGTGCAAATTGAAAACAACCACATGATTCCTGGGCAGATGGAAATCAGTTCTGGGTTCACCAAGGAGTATAAAAGGAAAAAATAAAAAAGCTCTGAGATGACAGTGTGTATCACAGAAGAATGTGCGAAAGCCACATGCAAATTGACAGGTTCTTCCTGACAATTAATTGTACATAGATGATGGTTCTCACACCATTGAGTTTTGGCATGCCTCACATCATATGAAGAGTGCACTGCTGCACATGACTGGAGATACCCTTGACAATGAGGTGTGAAGTCCATGTGGCTGAAGAGACTTTCATGAACATGATGGGGTGAAGACAGAGAAAGTCAATGAGAACTGGAGCCTCAGGTGAAGCAGAGTCATGCAAGCACAGACAAGACAAAGGCGACATTAGAACCTGTGTCTACTCCCACATTCAAGCAAGTGAAGATAGATACTCCCACAATAAGATCACCACTGAAGTGACAAGTACAGAATATGTCATGTTCACCCCAACCATGATTCATGCAAACTTGCACTAAGAAACACCTTCCTCATTTCATGACCAACACTGGCTACTTGTTCTTGTGCTTCTATAGTCCAAGGGCTTCTGGTATTTTCTCTAAGTCTTTGTCTGAGTCTGGTGAAAATTATAAATAGCTATGGAAGCAGGTCCTCAATTAGTTTGTGAGTGACACTGCCAGTCAAATGACCATTGTGGTGAAAAATAAAACTGACCTCAGACAAAATAAAATTTTGTAAGAAAGACTTTACTCATGGATGCTAAAAGCACAACATTGTGGTAATGTTTCTGTTAGACCAAAGTGACTGTTCTTTATTGTGCATATACACAGAAAATTTACAAGAGGTCATTTTAACATAGAAATGGGTTCCAAGAAGATGACTCCATAGGAAGCAGGTGGACTGTAGTTGTAATTTTCCTTGAGTTGCCAACTAGCTTCCCAAATAAAGACATGGAGACTTATTATTAATTATGATTGCTCAGCCTTAGCTTAGACTTGCCCCACTAGTTCTTTTAACATAATATAACTTGTTCCTATTCATCTATATTTTGCCTTGGGTTCTTTTACCTTTCTTTCATTTTGTATGTCCTACTTTCCTGCTTCCCCCATGTCTGTCTGTCTGGCCCCTGGCATCCCGCTGGTATCTCCTTTTCTTTCTTCTTTCTTGAGCCTAAATTCCTCCTTCTACTTACTCTACCTGCCCAGAAGTTCTGCCTATACCTGCTCCCTTGCTATTAGCATTCATCTGGGTTTTTTTGTTTCTTTTTGTTTTGTTTTGTTTTGCCATTCATCTTTTTATTAGACCAGTCAAGTGTTTTAGGCAGGCAAGTTAAAACACCAACACGTTTTTATAAAATTAAACAAATGCAACAAATCTTTGAATAGTAAAGCAAACATTCCGAAACAGTAGACTGAGACCCAAGTGAAAAAGGACAAACCTTCCTTTTGAGGATCACGAAGACTTTCAGGTATAATTTCAAATAATTTCAGTTGAGAATGATTTTCAGTTGAATGTATCTCCCAAAGTCTATTTTTGAGAAACTTAATTCCCAGTATAGCAGTGTTGGGGATGGAGGGAGGGTAAGCAGGGACTGTCAGGAGGCTCTGTCCTCAAGAATGAATTGATGCTGCTATTGAACAAATAGACTCATCATCAAGAGAGTGGGACCTGCTAAAGAAGGAGCTTTTCACTTGTCTCTCCCTTGCTCAGGGGATGCTTCTGAGGTGGTGTGGTGCAGCAGAGAACCTTTCTAGATATGGAATTTTGGTCTTGAACATCTTAGACTCCAGATGAGCCAATTCAGTTTCTATTCATTATAAATTACCCAAAGTAAACTAAAACAAAGAACTCACTCTGGTGGCAGAATATAAGAAAAAACAGCTAAAATCCAATTTCATTACAAAGTAATTTCTTAACCTCAGAACAGAGTTCATCCTGAAAATTACTACTGACAGTTAATATCTAATACATGATATTTTATAAGATTAGTAATTTAAAAGTTTGCATAGCAACTATAGAGCACTACATATAGGAAGAATATTCAGTTTCAATTGAATAGAAGCCTATATTGAAAATGTTGGGCTTTCTCCAAAGATTTTAATAAAATAGATATCCATTTGAGGCCAACTTCATGACCTTGTTTTTATTCCCTAAGACAAGTGGTAGAGATTGCACTCCAATGAGTACTCTTTGTTTGCATAGCTTCAGAGTATATGTTTTAGTTAAAATTAACAGAGCTCATATAGAATAGTAGTCAACCACTCCAATAAGTCTATAAAATATAGTCAAGGAGACACACTATATGGGGTGACAGTGCTCCCTGAAGTCACCTAAAAGAAACCCCAAATCCAGGCAAAGACTCCTGTTTGGTTGCCTCCCAGAAGTTGAAGATACACCACACACTTCAGACATGGGACTTGGAGAAATACAGGTGGAACTGACCTGGAAAGCTCCTCCCTGAGGATTAGCTCTTATATTAGAAATGCTAAGTAAACTGTCAAGAGAAAGAAGAAACCAATAGTCCTACCCAAATGTAAAGCCTACAAACCATAGTAATGGTAAGTATGATAAGGATTGTCCCAAGGGTACAATAGTAGCACATTTTTTTCCTCAGGGGTTACCAACTGCTATCTAATCAGACTTAAGGCTGTTCAACAGGAGGGAATTCATTCTTGTTACTATTAACCTAGCAAACTATTGGTAGCTGGAGAAGTAATGGACCCTAGAGGATGAATAACCTACTACTGCCAATTTTCTAAATCTATATAGTTTCTAAATATATTCTAAAATCTTGTCCTTCCAACTGCAGTTAAGTGTAGCTTTTATCCCTAATCAGTGAAGCTTATTTTATGCACTAGACAGAGGTTACAGAGATCCACAGACAGCCAAATGCAGAGAATAATAGTCACAGTGAAACAAACTCCATTTGTAACATCTATAACACAACTTGTATACCTAAGGTTTAGTGAATATCACAGAAGAGAGAGAATAAAGATTATAAGAGCCAGAGTCAGGGCACTAGTTTTGAAATAGTGTCTGTGAATGCAGCCAGTGACTCAATGTTCCTCCCAAAATTGCCTCAACTCCCAGGATCCTATGGGGCTAAATCCCTTCCTTTGTGCTGCTGCTATAATAATATGTGCATTGCGGTACTATCAATTAGTCAACATTCTCTGTGAAAACAAAAATTGGCCTTGAGTGAAATGTCTTCAAAATTGCCAGTTATGATCTACTTAATGCACACATACTCCTTGTGTTTAAGTGTGTTTCCCACCCCAAAATGTGTTCAAAAGAACATAACTTATTCTTCATGATACTGAGGAGAGAGGCCATCTGGGATGTACTGCTTATCCCAAAGAAGCTCTGCAGAACACAGCATCACAGGCAGTTCTAAGATGCACTGAGAAGCTCACCAGGCATCTGCATAAATATCTATCCTAACCATCTTTGGCTGAAATAATTTCAACACAGAAAACTGTTTGTGGATAGAACTAGCAAATACCATCAAATCAGCAAACATCAATGAGGAGTAAGCTCATAATAACCCTTCTCCTGCAGAGAGATGTGGTCACCAGAAGCAACAGACTAGACTTTCATGCACCATCCAGTTTCTCACTGGAACTAATGTTTTACTTAAGGAGGCTCCCTTTCTAGATCATATTGAGAAAAGAATTATGCCAGTCTTTTTCTGTGGTATTCTCTATACTAATGAGGTAAAAGAGATCAACTTACACAGAACTATATAGAACAGTGGTTCTCAACATGGGAATCATGACCCCTTTAGGGTCAAAAGATCCTTTCACAGGGGTCACCTAAACACAGATATTTACATTAAGATTCATAACAGTAGCAAAATTACAATTAGAAAGTAGCAATGAAAACAATTTTATGGTTGGACGTCACTACAACATAAGGATCTGTATTAAAAGATTGCAGCATTAGGAAGGTTGAGAACCACTGATATAGAAGAGCTTATTCATTCAACAAATACATCCACAAAAAAATATTAGCTAACATAGAGATAAGCTCTAATCTTGAAATGACATGACTTCCTGGGTTCATATCTTAAGTTGATAAAGACAGTAAATATCTAAAGAAGTTTATATTTTCTGATAGAAATGTTATAAATACTATTTGAAGTTAGTTTTGAGGCAGTTATTGATGTATTTTGTGAATCTGCAGGACTAAAATCTTGGCATTACTTGTTAGAAAATGTAAAATAGAGGTAACAGCATTTATCACTTCTTGCTTAGAAGACTATAAGCAAGTCAGATGTCTAAAGTACACAGCCCAGAATCCAGCACACAAAAAGTGCTCTTGAAGAAGTAAAAGTAGGAGGACCATAGAGACATGTCATCAGAGAATGACTTTTGCCACTAATCTAATGACCTGGGGTTGATCCCTAGAATCCACATGGTGGAAAGAGAGAACCAAGGTTTCCACTGATTTACACACACACACACACACACACACACACACACACACACACACACTGTGGCATATGCATAAACATAAATACACACACTGTGGCACATGCATATACATAAATACACACACACACACATACACACAAGTGGAAGTTTTGCATAGATGAGGTAAAACTCAGTGACACTGGTGCTCAGCATTAGTCATGAAGTTCAACAGCCCTGTCAGAAAGCAGATAAAACCAAAGGTGTGGAGAACACAAAACCAGACAGGGCTTCATGCATGCAGTCTACTAAGCACTGTTCTAGGACTAGCTAAACTTAGGTGCTTCATTTATGTCATCAACAAAATATATATAGTATTGGGTAGATAGCTCAGTAGCTAAGAGCACATACTGTTGTGTAGAGGTCCCAAGTTTGCTTCCCAGCACCCAGTGCCCCCTTTGAGTGGCTCACAACCATGTGTATATAACTCCAGCTCCAAAAGCCTGTGATGCTTCTGGCCTCTTGGAACACCCACACTCATACATACACCCTCTTACAGATATGCAGGTAAACACACAATTTAAAAAAAAGATTAAGAAGATATTTTTTAAACACAGACAATAGAACTATCTCCCTCATGAAGTTGTCATAAAGATTGAAAATGTGTTCCTGGCAAGTGAGAAGCTTACATACCTTTCAGTTTAAACATACATTTTATTGATCATTATAATTATAACTAGTTTTTCATTAATAACATCTCCAGTACTTCATTATTTATCAATATCTTTATAATCATCTTTATACGTTCACTTCAAACTCTGAGAATACCTCCTTAGTAGTGAAATGCTGTGTCAAACATGTGTGTAAAAAAAGTCAAAGAACACTCATTTAAAAGCTTCTACCATATTGTGAAAGTGATCTTAACAGAAAGATTTCTTGCATCCTTGAATATCCAGTGAGTGCAGGGATGGCATTTCCTGCCATTTTCTTAACCATTCTCTGGTGAGTCCCAGGAATAAGCATTATCCATGTCACTTCCTTCAGAAGTTCTTTGTTTCCTTTTGGCTTGCAGTACTGGGGACTGAGCCTAGGGTTTCACCTTAACTAAGCAAGTGAGTGTTCCACCACCAACCTGTGTCATCTGCCCTTACCTCCTTTCACAATTTTATTTTGATACAGCTTCACAACAGCAACAGCTCAAGGTAGCTTTGATGTTACAATTTTCCTGTCTCAGCTCCTCTTGTTTAATTTTTCTCTTCAAATGTTTTACTCATTTTTAAAAATAAACCATTCTCCATTTAGTTTATTTACTAAGTGCTTTATATCTTAGTTAAATTGCATTGCATAAATTGTCAAAATTACGGTAATATTAAACACACATTTACATGGTAAAATCTCTTGTTCTTGGTTTGCATTTTTGGGGGTATCTTGTAAAGACCTCACTCACCCAAAAATGGGAACAAAATACTTTCTGCTTTACTCTAGCACTGAACCATTTTATATGTGCATGTTTAAATCTTTATCTGTGTCAGGAAGCAGTGACGTGTGAAATTGGGCCTTCCATCTCAGTGTTTGGAGAGTTTCCCCAAAATTCTTGGTAAGCTTTTTCATCTTTTCTCCACTCATCTTGAGATCTACTCTATGAAGCATCAAGTCTGTTGGTGCTCTTGGCTCTGACTCAGTGAAGGAGGAGGCCCGGTGATGAATGGTGAGCAATTGGCTGAGCACACCTCACCATTGATTCCCTTCTTCCTTCTCCTACTAGCCTCCTAAATTGCATGGCAAAGGTTAGAAACCAATGCAAAATCCTCTCTGTTCCCTAAGAGTTATACATTGCCAAGACTTTATAAATTGTTGGAATTTTCATCTTTTACTTCTTGAAAGTCACAGGCATGTGTTCCCTGGTACCCAACACGTCCACCTGCTTCTCTTGCAACACCTTGCTAGTAGTAGAGAGAGGGTTAAGTGAGTCTGGGTGTATTGTTGTACCTTGGGACCTAACTCCTTCAGAAGGGAAGCCAGCTGCACCTTTACTTTAGTAGAGTCTCCCACTCACTCTGTCTAACAAGTCTTCCTAGAAACCCCTGGCATGTGGGTGGCATTTATTCTAAGTTTGCAGCAGAAGGGCACATGTATATTTGTCCTTGTATATTCCGGTTATCATTTCAATGGAAACTGGAAGTGGGTGGAATGAAACACCTGTGTTAAAGTATGCTACTTACCAGAAAGCCAAGTGGAGCTCTCATTAACACTCACTACTGTCTCTTAGAAATTCTGAGAACAACTTGTGCTTAGAAACAGGCAGTAAACAACACACATACACATTACCTTTGATTGCTGCTAAATATCCTCGGAGTTCTCGCTGAAGTCTGGTACCCTCTGCCTGAAAAACACACAGTACAAAGATGCTAAACAACTTGCCTATGTTTTGCATGCAAATATGAAGACATGATAAGATTCAGTTATCACTGCCAGAACCTTGTTACTAAAAATATGTATATGTGTAAGCACAGTCTGAACAAGATGATAATCTCATTAGTCTCGGTATTTATATAGGTGTTATTCAGAAGAACAAAGGACAAAGGTTTTGCTAAGAGTAGAAATGGGGTCCAGAAGACAGATCTTCTGTACTTAAGAATAACCAGTAGAAAGAATCTTATACACTCTCTGCTTTTAATTCTGACACCTGGGAATAATAATATGGTTTTCATCACCTCTGTCTGGATTGGTAGCTACCTAGTGTCCTGTGAAAAGGCGAGTGCTGAGGCATGTGTCTGAGCATTCAAAGCTTCTGTAATCACACACACTACACACATTTTTGTCTTGTGATAATGTCACAAACTTGCAAAAACAACCTTTCCACCTTGAGTTTAATGAGGATAATTATGGCACTCATATTCACTCAATAAATCAACCAAATGATTATGCATATGATTATAAATTATCATTGAATACAAAACTAAAATTTCTAAGTAAAATATGTATATCACACAAATTTAGCACTAAATAGCCATTCAAAGTACTTAGAGATATGAAATAACCATGAAATGTCCATCATTTTTAAATACACACAGTGATTAATACAAAGAAACCTGAAAACAAAGATTTACCCAAAGACCATTTTTTACTTAAGGTGCATCCTACTGAGTACCAATGAAGCGCAGAAAGAGTGGCATTGTTGCTTTTCAATCTGTGTAACATGCAGGGAAAGTATATGTTTGAATTACTCTTAGGCTATTTTTGCAACTCTGCATACTGTTAACATCAGAAAAGAGCTGAGGGTCATTACATGTGTTGGAATACATGAACTTTAATCAAAGCAGCTCCATTCAGAATAGGAAAGGGAACTGGTCAAGTTCTAAGGAGGTGACCCCCTGTTTATGTGTTGACATGGCTTAAATAAACATTCTTAGGTTCCCTTGACTTGAGCCATCTAGAACTACAGTGTGAAGGAAAACTGCACAAAGCTCCTAGGGAAATGGGGGAAATTCTAAAACAGGAGCATGCAGTCACAAGGCATGCCACAGAAAAAGCAAAAGGGTGGGACAATCATGGTAAACATGAGATGAGGTGGAGAGTGAAGAGCTCCCAGAGAAGCTACAGGACAGAGAAGCAGAAGGAATTCTACGACAAAACCTTGGAAAGGGGACTTTTCCCACTGAAATCTAAATCTAAGTACAGGAGATCATCCCCTGCCATAACACAGCTTCACTTTCTCCAGAAGCCACAACCCATAGTCAACTCTGGCCCAAAAGCACTTAATGGAAATTTCCATAAACAATCCTACATTTCAATGTGTGCCCTGAACAAGAACATGAATCATGTGTTTTTCCCTTATGTTCCAATAAACTTTATCTTACAATGGCTGCACAGACTGGGAACAATCATTGTGGTGATTTAGATATTCCAAAGAAAATCCACAAAGTTCCTGTACAGAGTAAAATGGTGAAATTTTTGAAAACAAGAAAGAAGAAAAATTGCTTGCTGAGGTTGCATGATCTTACAAGCTACGATAAGTTATTGCTAATCTTCTACTGTGTCTCATCTATAAACATGTAGATTTCAGGTGTGTGTGTAAGGGAAAAGACAATATATACAGGTTTCATATAATTCATGGCTTTAGAAAATTTGGTCTCCCCTCAGAAGAGGAAGAAGTGTTGAAAGATGCAGAAATGGTTTTGGGAGATTTTATTATGCAGATCTATTATGATTCTTTTAATAAGAGTAGTATTTCAAGTTTCAATAACATCAAGGTTGGCTATAGTACTTCTCTTGGGCCAGGGAATGTGAGTAGAAGTGCCATGCACTGCTAAGCTGGAGGTCATCCTATAGCCTTGACACATCTTTCCTTCGCCTTGTGTCCCACAGTGTTTCAGATGGGGACTGCTTGTTTTCCCTGGGTCCCAGGGTGACAGAAACATATGATACAGCTCACTTTTGCATTTCCAAAAGTGAGAACAATTTCTGTAGAAAGTCATGGACATAGTGTGACCTCAGCAGAACGTAGGCTAAACTGCCCAATTAAATGATTCAGTGAACACTGGGAATGCTGACCTGCATGGTAGACAGAAATACAACAAAAGATATAATGGAGTTCCTGAGTGGATAAGCATTATTAGAATTTGCAGAACCATTCAGAGAAGAAAACAAACTGGAAATGTTAAGGACAAAGCAGATGGTTAGAGGATTATGGAGGGTTCAACAATGGAAAGAGATGTAATCATGATGAGAGAAATTCCAGGTTTCATATCCAAAATTAGAGGGAATCCTTTCTGAACTGAGACATTAGATTTTTTTTGGACTGATGTGACCCCAAAGTAATCTGAAGCTGGAAGTTCTAAAAGGTGTAATTTGGGGGGATTTGAGTTCCTTGAGGTCACACTTCTTAATCAAGGTAAGTGGAGAACCTGAGATGTCTCAGTGGTTTCTCCAGGGACATAAAGAAGAATGACACCTGTAGCCTTTAGGGCAGAACCTCACAGATCTCTCTGACTTTCAGATGCTGGCTCTGTTGTCTGTGGCTCTTCTTTGGAACAGCTCAGGGCCCCAGAGATGAGGACTGCCTCACTTCACACAAGGAAAGATGCTTTACCACCAGCATCTCATGCAAACAGCATGAAGAGCCCACTGTGAAAATGGTGGCCATATGTCACCAGGATTGTTCAGAGTAACTAGAAACAACAAAAGTGTAGCAGGAAAAAATTCCTCTCCCAAACACTTATGGAACAGAGTATGTCAGATGAAGACTGGTTAAGCCACTGCCTTTCCTTTCAAAACAAGAAATAAATTTAAATTATTCATGTTCCTTTCCATACACTGGATTCATCTAGCCAACAGGAAACAATAATCTTTTTAATGAAATGAAATTCTCAGAAGAGATTATTTTTTAATGTAACAGTGAGGAAATGTTCAGGCTGTACAGCACTAGCTTAAATAAATGAGTTCAATTTAAGCAGAAAACTAGGGCTAGTTTAAATGACTTTCTTCTTTCTCAGTTATTAACATGTTTAATTTTCCCCATAAGGTTATGTAAATCTTTCAATAACAACCACATGGAGCTCCATCTAAAATTCTGCCAGTTCCCAAAATATAAAAAACTTTTCAGAAAAATTGTTACCTACAGCATGCCATAGGGTAGGTGAAACATTCCCACATAATTATTGTGGGTGAGCCATAGATAATTGCAGTTAATAAACTCTTCATCTATATGTATCTGCCCTCATTTTATATTCAGCTATAATAAATGCCCTGTAGGTGTGCGGTCTAGCAGAATTGATTAACGTTTCTTTTTGTTTTGTTTTTTCGAGACAGGGTTTCTCTGTGGCTTTGGAGGCTGTCCTGGAACTAGCTATTGTAGACCAGGCTGGTCTCGAACTCACAGAGATCCATAGACTTGGCTGTTGGTGACTTCTAAGTGGAAAAGCATAGAATCATAACCCCTCTCCTGTGATCCTGTCCTGTTCTGCAATAGTGCAGCTGGTGACTGTTCTTCCCCCACTACCCCATAACGCAGTGACGCCTTTGCAGCACTGAGATGATGATCTGGAAAATGTTTTCCAATGTACCATGTTTATCTGGTGTTGGTTTACTCCATTCATTTCTAATGCTTCCTTCCCCTTCTCCAATTGCATCTCCACAGAGCCCAGACCTGAACACAGTTCTCTTCAATTTAAGTTGAAAAACTCTTACCTCACTGCTCATATTTCATTGAATATGAAGCCATTTATTCCTCTGAGGACTGTTATTTCAATAACTCAACCATGAATTTTGTATTTATTCTGTGTGTATGTAGAAACTATACTTAAATCCCCGCATCTGTGGTACTACATGCCTTTACTTTTCTCAACTATTTTCTTTTATGTAATTCTCCACCAAGTTGTATTAAGATTATTTTCTCACCTCTTGATCACAGTCTCTTCAGGGCTCATGGCCACAGTAAAACAAAGGAATGTGCATACAATTAACTCATCTGGATTTCTTAGCAATATTCTTTGAACAAGCCCCAAGAAGGATCTGCCACGTACCAAATTCCTTGTTCTACCAAACATGGTAGCATTGCAACATATCTCCAATATTGCTCAGAAGTATTGTTGTTTTGTTTTTTTTCAATTGATTCATTTTCAGATTGTCAGGAGCTTCCTGATATTTCTCAAGCCCTGCTGGCCCCTCCAGGTTGCACTTTCCCACACACAGCCTAAGGGACTTATACCCCTTTTTCTTTCACATTTAAGTTCTCCCAGTCACTCTTCCCATGGAGTTTCACACTCTTACAGCATGAGGAAGAAGAAGGTACCCTCTGAAGTAGCTTGTTTCTCAGAAAACAGAAAATCTCCTGGGAGACATGTGACAGTTTCATCACAGGGGTTTCAAAAATTAGCAGGCACACACAAGGTACAGATGGATTAAAAGAACTCTGCCCAGGTCTGAGAATCTATTCCTATTCCTTTATCTTGTGTGGAGATCTCATCAACACACCCCCTAAAGGTCAGTTGAAGTTAAAAATCAAATTAACAGAGAAACACTGCAGTAAGCAGATCAGCAATGAATATTTCAAATATCTTTGCTAGTACAAGGAAGTCACATTTCATGCTTAATTCAATGTGTTTCAAGTTGCTTTTACCACATTGGCCCAGAGTAACAAAAACTCATTAATTATTTGCATATCTGTCAGGGAGTGCAGCATAGTGTGGAGTGGAACCCAGACAATGTAGGCTTCAAAACAGCTTCATTCACTAGAGACTTCAGAACCTTGGATAGCTGCCACTGTAAAGGAAGTACCTAACAAGCAGGAACAATGCCATTAAATTAAATGCCAATTATATATTCTGGTGGTGACAGGGGGACTTTATATGAAGTGGGAGAATGGTAGGAGCTTCTGTGCCC